TTATACTCATTCCTTCCTGAATTCAGGCCAATCAGCTTTTGTATAGTCCCATGTGGGCTGAGTATTGGGCTGTTCCTCTAATTGTGGTGGGCTACCTATATGTAGGTGAGTATAGGAAGGTGATCGCTTCCCCAAGTGTCATCATGGACTTGCCATTGGCAATGTGTGGCGAGGTTGTTGGTGGCAGGTGTGAGATCAATTGAACTCCACGTGTCGTTGTTCAGAGTCCTTAACCAATTTCTCTATCATTTTGCCGTATTTGCATGAATCATTCCTGTCTTCCCATAGGGGACTGTGGGATTAAAGTCACCAAGGATTATCCCATTTTTGCCTACTATTTGAGCTAGTCTTGTTAGCTCTTCCATGTTTGTTTCATGGGTAACCCTGTGATATATGTTGGCTATGCGTAATTCATTGCCATTTGCCAGTTTTAGGGAGATTACTTGGGTTTCAAGGTTTCCTACGTTTGATTCGCTATTTTTTTAGGTACAGCTGTCGTGGACAAGGGTGATCGGTCCTCCTCCCTTGTTGCCAGGCATAAGTCTGGTTCTGTCTTTTCTATATTGGGTGTACCCAGGTAGTGTGAATTTGGCTTTTTCGCTGAGTTTGTGACAGGCGTTCGTTTATTTATTCAAATTCCACAAGTTCATCAGTCACATTGAGTTGTTCGCCTCCTCTTTTGTTGCTCAAACTCTCCACTGATGTTAGCTGTCTTCGTTAACTTGAGACCGGATATAACTAATTACAAACTTTGTTCTAATTATGCTAATCTAGGAAGTGCATTATACTAGATGACAAACGTATATAATCATGTCACACTAGTCCTTGTTTACAAGTAACACATGCCAATTAACTAAACGAATATCCTTTTTATATAATTAGGTAGAAGTATCACAATGGACAGTGTATACAACTGTTTGTCAAACAATATCAAGCAATATTTTAAATTTTGAATCACCAAGGCATGAAATAACAGAAACATTATATATTAAATTTCACTTTGACTATTCAAGACATAATATGTAATTGTCGAGAAATGCCATCGTCGAAAGTACGAAACTATTAAACGTTCTTGAAGTTGGAATAGAACATCACATATTATAATAAAAATAGGTACTTAATCAAACAAAAAGTGTTTCCCATATATGTTTCCTTGTATAATTTTAAATTAATGGATTTTTTGTTTATTTTTTGCAATCATCGTGATATAACTCTGAAAAGGCTATTCTCTTGTTATTCCGTACTGATGAAGATGTTTGGGAGGTAAGCGTCGGCCAAAGAGGCCCAGGGCAGTTGCCCCCCTGTATTTTTTATAAAAACATGTTTCCTTGTGAAACTTAACTTGAATAATAAATGAATAATCTTATTTGCCCCACCTGTAAAAACAAGGGTTGGTTAACTACGGCCTTGATGGATAGCTAACGACTACTCCATGATTCACAGAACGGATTCAGACAAAAAAGATCTACTATCGATCAGGTCCAAACGCTAACAGCAATTATAGAAAACAGAAAAGTAAAAAAGAAAACTACATTTGTTACATTCATAGATTTTAAGAAAGCTTACGACTGTGTTAATAGAAACATTTTATGGGATAAACTTTCTCATCATGGTATTGGAGGCAAAATGTTACCTGCCTTGCCATCATTATACAAGGGTGTTAAATGCAGTGTTCGAGTGAATGGTTTCTTTACTTCCTGGTTCACGGTAAACCGTGGCTTCAAACAGGGGTGTTTGTTATCTCCCTTGCTTTTTAACTTTTTCATAAATGATTTATTATATACTCTCAACAGTCTTAATATTGGTGTAACTGTAGACAATTTTAATATTGCAGCATTAGCATATGCGGATGATTTAGCATTGCTAGCTGGAATGAAGCTGATCTCAGTCTACTATTAGATGTTTTACATACTGGGTGTTGCACAAATAAGATAGAGATCAATAAGGAAAAGTCTAAAATTGTCCATTTTAGAAACCCGTCTGTCATTCAGACGAAGCAAGTTTTTAATGTCGGAAATATGATTTTAAACATTGCTGCTAAGTATATTTATCTTGGTCTACTGTTCACAGACCACTTAGATTTTACTGCAATGGCACGTGCAGCAGCGAAGTCTGCTAATAGGGCTTTGGGCCTGTTTATATCCAAAGTTAAGACAATAGGCGGTATGCATTTCCAAACCTATTCCAAATTGTGCGATAGTATGGTTTGGTCTGTTCTTGAATACGGGGCGGCTATCTGGGGTAATTATGATGTGTCAGCAATAAATGCTGTACGAGATAGAGCCATTAGATTTTATTTGGGACTCGGCAAATACGCCCCTAACGTCGCTATAAATGGGGACATGGGATGGATACCGCCTGTTGTCAGACAGTGGAAAAGTGTAGCAAGACAATGGTGTCGCCTTAAGAATATGTCTAGTAGGTTAAACAAACACGTGTTTAACTGGGCTGATAGATACGCTGTAAATGGTTGTAGGGTAAGAAAGAAGTTTACTAATATGGATTTAGGACATCTATTAAACGCAACAGGTTTTATTGATAAATTTTCTGTTTGTACACAGGTGGAACAATGGTGTATGAATGAATATGTTACCCGTTGGAGTGATATGTTAAGAAAGGAAGAGGGGCGAAATGGGCTTAATAAACTGAGAATGTACCGATGTTACAAACAAGTATATGGGACAGAATACTATGTTTCAAATAAGATGGCCAGAAACTATAGATCGGCACTAGCCAAGTTTAGATGTGGAGTGGCTCCTATTCGAGTGGAAACCGGTCGGTACGAAGGTGTACCTGTCCACAAAAGAAAATGTTTTCACTGTAATGACAGCGTGGAAGACGAGGTCCATTTTTTGTTTCACTGCGTATTATATGCGATATCACTGCGATATCAGGGCAACTCTTTTTAATGAATGTATTGCTAAATCTTATAATGTTTTAGATATACCTGATATCGACAAACTTTGTTTAATTTTCAGTGACTCCAGTGTGTGTTTTATACTTGCCAAAGTCTGCTTTTTAATTCTTAATCGTAGAAAACATCTTTTATATGGATAACTTTTTACTATATCAACTTTATATCATTTATGTATAAATTCTGGGATAATTTGTCTCTCATAATTCTATTGAATGGTTCTGTACATTCTATCTATGTCAAGTTGTACAAAGCTGTTTTATGTATGTACAGAAGTGAGACGTTAATAAACTATTGGCTGTCTGTCTGTCTGTCTGCCCCATCATTTTATACACAGATTAGCGAAATATTTTAAACACAGAAAAGTCACAACAAAATTAATGAAAGTACCGAAACGCGAACAATAAACGCACTGAAAGAAATAGTCTGTTTCGCACATTGTTTTTTAACAGAATATTGAACTCAATTTGCGATGTCAATGGCCTTTCCCACATTTCCTTTGTTGTAAGAAAGAGGGGTGTACTTCAATCTTTTAATCCAACTCATACGAAGGAAAGTACAGCGTGCAAATGGTCATTGTTTAATTGTGGGTAGGAGAATGTCTAAGAGTTAAAAAGAGTGAAGAAAAGGTTAACTTAGCCGAGAACGTGGTCACCCGACCATGTCCGAGAACTGATGCTTGCTTGCTATAGGGTGTGAACGGGAGGGCGGCTTGTGCGATCAAGCGTGCAATTTTGGAGGAAATTACCTTCAATATGACTATATGGAGCCTAGACTGTATCCGACTCCACTGTATTTTGGTTTCAGTCTTTGCAATTGATAAACAGGACTAATGTGCAAATAAACCTTATTTACGGGACACTTTCGATGTTTTGAATACGATATTTCAATTAACAATGTCACGATCTATCCAGTTCTGCATTTTTTTATATACCCTTGAGACTTAAACTTTAACAGTTAGAAGGTTAACACTTTCCCGTACCCCCACCTGAATTACCCCCTTATAAACGTCTGTTAACCCTTATTTCGGAGGTGACCCAGTGCATGGTCTTGGGCAACTGTTGTGCAGTCATGTGCAACACATCTAATGTAGCCCACTTCCACAAAGCGATCTTAGCGCTACGACTATTGTAAGCCTATGTTAAAGTATGGGAGTTACGATCATCTTAGCGCTAAGATCGCTTTGGTCTTCAGCAACCCATGCTTGCCGTAAAAGGCGACTATGCGTGTCGTAAGAGGCAACTAACGAAATCGGGTGGTCAGGCTCGCTGACCTTTGTAATGCCTGTCATCGTATCCCAATTGCGTGGATCGATGCTCATGATGTCAATCACTGGATTGTCTGGTCCAGACTCTATTATTTACAGACCGTTGTCATTTAGCTGGAATATTGCTAAGTGCGGCGTTAAACAACAAACAAATTGTGGTGTGCAGACACGTATATATATTGTGATGATGCTTCTGTTTAAAGCCCGATATTCCCGCACAAACCTGGGTCATACGTATCATATTTCATTGTTTGTGTGGTTTATAAGTAAGTACGGTTCATGAGCCGATGCCCATACACACCGGTTGAATTCCGGGTTTAAATAGGTCCCAAATGGATCGGGAGATCAAGCTCATTAAATTGGTTGATTGGTGCAGAGACCATATACCGATCTTTTCTCTGATTGAAATTCATCGCACCCCCAGTCCGCTGCTCGCGTTATCAACCCCTGGTTTGTCTGGCCCAGATTCGATATTGTACACATGCCTGAAGACTCCCGTCACACACATACTGCAAAGCGGATCACTAAAATCCTTGCCAATAAATGCAGATAATGCCAGAAATTATTTGGAATCAGCTTTTTAAGAATTAAAGATAATTTCTAAATATATCCATGTTCAGCAATTACGATATTCATGCAATTTGTTGGCCGGGTGAATTTTGCAACACTTCATAACGCAACGAATGGTGTGGTTTCAGCACTGACTCAAATGTAGTGTTAGTTTTTTCCTCAACACATGACATTTTGCACGTAGACAGCAATGAACGGCAAACAAAAACCTTTTGGCGGCAGTAGGGGAGGCAACTCTGGCGGTATAGAGGGCGCTTCATAAACACAAAGCGAAGCACCGTTTTACCAAAACATCTCGGATACAGGCCTATTTGATGTTATTAAGGTATCATTTACCGCTTGCAAGTTGTACCTAAGTCGATATGTCGACTTCCACAACTGGAAAAGCTCTGCTAGCTGGTTTGAAAGATCGCAAAGACAGCGAATCAAACGGTGACGATCGGAAACGACAAGGATCGCCGGTTGTAGTAGAAGACAATGAGGCTGCCGACAGAAGAACCAGTAGAAGAAAACGACCAAAGGTAGTTGCCGCCGGTACAGATGGAGCATCCCACCCACAACAAAGCGCGTCATCGACTGTGAATATTATTTTAAATTATAAGTGTCCACGTCCGTGTTTGTGGCATGAGTTTGGAATGCAGAGCTTCGGTGGTTTGCTTGCTAGTTCTCGTCTTGACACATGTTGTTCTGTTTTCGATCACTTGTCATTTTCACAGTTTGTGTCACATTCTCAGCCTTGTCGTAGCACATGTATGTGGTGTTTAGTTTTAGAGTGCACATATCTGATTCAACCTATACCCAGCCTTGAAAAAGTTTGTTCAATTCTGATATAAAAGTAAAGTACCCCTGACATTCATTTAGCCCTATACCGGCTTTAGGCGAATTCGTAACCAGGTCCAGAAGCAATACCAATAAAATTACTAGTCGTTTGTCATATTGACCCCAACACTCATTACGATTTGCCATAGGCATTGAACATAATCATCATGTAACACCTTCTATATCTACAAAATACCGCAAAGTTTTGTTTTCAGCAAGTTTAGTTTACAATTCATTGCTGTATGACATCAGAGGATTAGGATGAGGATGGGGAACTCGGGACGGGTGGGTCCTGAGTAGGACCCAGGTACCCGCACAACTACCTGACAAGTCACATCAAATTCTGTTTAATGACATTAACAACAATACTCTACAAGTATAGCTAATTTTCACATTTCTTTCTGACTATGCAAGCATTTGCTCTGACTTTTATATGTTCTAGTAAGGATAAAGCATCTATCAACTTCAGTGTATGCATGATCAGATTGTTTTCTACGTGTCTCTAAATAGCTTATGCCAGGGCTACGGTAAAACAATTCCCATTCAGACATTTTGTTCCCAACTCTTGAGACCTATAGTGCTGCCCAGGTAATAGGGTGTCGGGTACCTGGTAGTAAATTTGTCCTCGTCCCAGCCCTACAGATGATCCAGATAAACCAATGAAATCATTACCTTGCTAATGAGTCAGGTCACGGGCTGTCATATTCAAGCTTCGAGGTACAATCCATTTTTGAAATGGGAGAAGTTTTAACACAAGAAATAACATTATAGATGATTGCAAAACACTTTCCATTTTTGCACTTTTGGAGTTTATTTAATTTAACAGAGAAAATGTGTCTGAAATTTTTCTGGCATGGGTTACTTCCCTTGATCAATCTTCTGACTACACGTTTGTCAAGATATGCTTTTTAAAGAGCATTGTTAAAGTTCAATATGGTCCCACCTCAAATTATTTTTTTGCAAACAGGTAATGAAAATAGTCAGACATTTCACCAGTACTTGTGTAAAGTACACCAAAATTGCAAGGCAGAATTTTTAAATTTTATTTAGAAATCGTATGTTCTGACTTGTGCCTATAGGGTCTATCTTCAGCATAATTCAACACCAGAACACTTTTAGTCTCCAAAGAATATTATACACATAATTGTATATATAGTCACAGTTACTTTCACTATTGAAGATTTTGTCGAAGGTCAAGGTCATATTTAAGGATATTGCAAAACATGGTTGCCTCATTCATTGCCAGTTACTGTTTTACTTGGACAGTCCTCCCGTGAATATCTGGGTTAGAATAGGTCTTCAATAACCCATGCTTGCTATTAAAGGCGGCTATGCTTGTTGTAAGAGGCAACTAACGGGATCGGGTGGTCAGGCCCACTGACTTGGTTGATGCATGTCATTGTATCCCAACTGTGAGGATCAATGCTCATGATGTCATTGTCAATCACTGGAATGTCTGGTCGGGACTCTATTATTTACAGAGTGCCATCATATGCTGGAATATTGCTTAGTTAAACAACAAACAAACAAAACTTGGACAGTCCTGTGACTTGGATAATTGTTGGGTGTAAAGAAGTAGTCTTGATTAAGGTCAAAATCTAGAAGTAATGTTTATGGACTGGAAGTACATCAATATTTTTACAGGCTTCGGGGAAATGGTAGTGATGGGACTACTTCTGTTTTTCAAGTACTGGCAAGCATCACTCGTTCCATCTTCCCTAGGCAAGGGTGTTAACTGACTATAAAAGTCCAGTTTCCAACCTTGCCGAACTGGGCTGGAATTTGCGGCCCTGATCGTAGCACCACCAGTGGCTATTATGAGTTATGTCCATTTTATGTCCTTCCTACTGACAAATCAGATTATTTCTCTCATATCACATGTATTTGCTTCAAACAAAACGGCAGCGCCCGGTCAATACGATCTGATCGAAAATCAAGATACATATTGTAATAAAATGAGTCTTACCCCACGAAGTGCATCAAATCACATGAGCTTGATTAAAAACATGAAAACATTTTCAAACAGTCGACCCAAATCTGCACATTGAAATCCATGTTGTTTACTAACCGGATGTCTAGTTCGTTACACATTTTTGATTGGACTATGCATAGACTCATTAGTCCAGCCAAAATGTAACTCCAGAATCCCAGCCTAGTTCGGCAAAGGTGGAAACTGGACTTTTATAGTCGGTTAACGCCCTTGCCTCGGGATGATGCTCTTGTTCATGTTGTGTGTGTAGTTATCTTTCCTGTGAAATGTTCTTGGGTACTTGTGACATAAAAACTGTGAGAATATGGTATTGTTCTGATCAGCATGAACTAGGATGAATATTTCACTCACCTGACTGAAAGTCAAGTGAGCTTATGTCGTGGCATATTGGCGTCCTTCTGTCGTTAGCATTTGCATTTTAGACGTCTCCCTGAAACGACAATGCCTTGGGAGCTGATTGTATGAGTGATCCCTGCTTCTGCTCCAAGTCTAAACATGGCTTCCATGGCAGCCATATTGAAAATGTGATTTGGGGCCATTACTCAAGCTATTTCTGCATGTATCTCTATGAAATTAGGAGAGGCTCTTTGTATACCGGTAGATTAAAATCTAGGACAAAATAGCGAAACAATATTATGCATGCCCGAATGTTTGGCCAGTTTGCCCTGTGTGTGAATTACCCTTGGCTTGTCAAAGCAAAAACAAAACATTCCTTGTCTTTCATCGAGTACTCAGTACTCAAGGAAGGGGGTGGGGTAGGGGGGTGTAGTGAAGGGGGCAGATATATCCAATTGCGTTGATCGATGCTCATGATATTAATCACTTGATTGTCTGGTCCAGACTCGATTATCTACAGACCGCCATCATATAACTGGAATATTGCTGAGTGCGGCGTTAAACAACAAACCAAAAACCAAAACAACATTGCCAAGCTAAGTGACATTGACAAGATAGGCAGCTTGATATGTTTGACAGCCGACATGACCAAGAATTTCAGTGTGGTTTAAAATAGACCTGTTTGAAAGTTATTCCTTCCTGTTATCATATTGAGCCAAATTACAACAATACTATGGATATTTTATAGGAAGATGAAAGTAGATCAATACGAGAAGGAAAGTTAAACAGTCTGTAACCATGGTAACACTTTGACTTGTCATTCAAGGAAACACCAACATGATGAAGCAGGACATTTTGATCATTGTTAATTATTTTTCATAAGCCTGCTTGTCATAATTTAGGCCAGGCTCATCTACGGAAAGACTGTAAAATGGTGAGGCCACACATGATACAAGTATTTCGACAGTGATAATGCTGACAGAAACTAACCTGTGAAGCATGTTTAAGTTACTACTCACGACTCAGGATGTATTTTCAAAACCTTTTTTAACACTTTTTTATCTTGAGTTCTACTAACACTTTGGGATGATGTTATTTCGGGCCTGTTTTGAGTGTCTTTGAGTTGGGAGTGTTGGTGTCTGTTCTAGCCCAGGATTTGGCATGCTTGGTGTCCTAGAGGTTGATGGTTCGTGTCTATGTTCTGAGCCAGGCTTTACCCTGTCCTACAGGTTGAATGTTCTAAGCCAGTCTTTTTTCCTGTCAGATTGAATACAAGGAAATGGAGGACGCACAAGGTCAGGTGTCGGAGGAAGAGGAGGGTTCGGAGGAGGAGAAGAAGGAGGTGAAGGAGAAGGAGAGAGTGGAGGAGAAGAAACTGATCCCAAAGGAAGAACCCGAGCCTATTGTGGATGACAGTGACCATGCCGATGACCCCACAGGTAAGTGCTGAACAGTGACCATATCGAGGTACCCATCATGGCATGGGTTGAAGGAGAACACCAGCGTAAAAAAAGGGCGTTTCAGTTTGGGGTGTCACGATTCACAAATTTTATACACACTACGTCTACCTATGTATTGATTCTTGTGGTGGCACATGGTCGCGTGCACAGAGCACAGGTCACAAATCAGGTGCAGTGAAGCAATGTCGGTCGCGGAGAGTCCTTGGATGGGTGACCGGGTTTCGGCAGCTTGGATCCAGAGAGTTTCTAGGACTTCGGTACTGCCCCACACTAAAAGTGACACAGATTTACTATCATGCCTCAAGATTTGTGTCAATTCTGTATTGGTATATGCAGATTGAACATGCTATGGAAATTTGATATTCTGTTAAATATGTAAGTTTGAAGCCTTCAGAATAAGATACCTCTTTTCAGTTTTTCTTTTTCTTCACATTTCATGTATTAAAGAGTCAACAGATCTGTAAATATGTTCTTGCAAAGCAACGTCCCATTGTTGTTTTGCTGTGATGATAAAAAATCTCTCACAAAAACATAAACTATTATGTTAACATCAATCAACTTTTTGTCAGGGTTCACATGTTCTGATGTTTTCTGGGGCAGTTGGGTAGCCTAGTGGTTAAAGCGTTCGCTTGTTACGCCGAAGACCCGGGTTCGATTCTCGACATGGGTACAATGTGTGAAGCCCATTACTGGTGTTCCCCGCCGTGATATTGCTGGAATATTGCTAAAAGCGGCGTAAAACCATACTCACTCACTCGAATGTTTTCTTTCACTGAGCAGGTTTGGAGGGTGCAGCATTCCAGAGTCGTCTCCCCTTTGACAAGATGACATCCCAGGAGGCAGCATGTTTCCCCGACATCCTACAGGGACCTCCTCAGGCCCAGAAGGTCTTCCTCTACATCAGAAACAGGCTGGTGAGTTGGACTGACAGTGGACAACGTCATTTTAAGGGTCTTTGCTCTTCCAGTTCTCCATATCACCCCAATCAAAAATAATATTAAAACCTTTTTTATATCCACCCACCTGAAAAAATACCAGTCCTAGGAGATTATAAACACACAAATAATAGTTTTAATTTACTGATATCTCTGGATACTATGGAACATGTGTCAAGGTTATATTGTCATGGCCATGGACAGTTCCAATGCATCGATAGTTTCATCTTTTGTTGCAAACCTAAGCGACATACAAACTGGCATCAAACACATGACAATTTGAGGTAGATGACCTGGGCTGAAGTCCCTATCAGGAACAGCTTTTGTCTGCCATTTATGGTCAGTTTTCTACAATCCTTGCACTCGCAGCTTCAACTCTGGCTTGACAACCCCAAACAGCAGCTGACGTTCGAGGGAGGTCTCCCACAGATTGAAGCCCCATACAACAGTGAGTCTTTTTAATTCAATATCCTCATAATTTCCCTGGTGATTCCTGGCTAGAATTGGTTCCTATTGATCATGTTGATGCAACACATATTCTGGATTAGAAGTCGGGGGTCCGTTCCGCAAATCTATCGTAGTGCTAAGGTTATTGTAACTCCCATACTTTAACATAGACTTACGACTGTCATTGCGCTACAATTGCTTTGTGGAACGGGGCCGGGGTCTTGATTAAACACTGGCCTTGATTCGATTTAACGCTGTTTTTTTTATGGTCTGAAATCTCACCATTTCTTTTGCAATTAACACTTGGTTAAAAGAGTGTCTGCCAAAATATACGTCTGGGCATTTAATAAAATAAATATGGTATGCTTTGTTGGGAGAATTGATTCAATTTGATTTTGTTGTCTGGTTCTGATTAGCTGATTGCGTGTCATCGCGCCTTGATGGTAGGGCTGGGACGGGTAACTCAGTTCGGGTTGGTCCTGAGTAGGACCCGGGTACCCACAGGTACTAAGCAGACCAGTTTCAGCTGAAAAGGAAAATAAACATTCTCATCCTTGGATATATTGTTTTATGACAAAAACAACTCTATGGTCACATTACAAGCCACTAAATGTTTTCATTTTGATCTGCTGATGCACGCATTCCTTCTGACTTTTATATCTTTGGGTATAGATAAAGCTTTCGTCAACCTCAGTGTATGCATAATCAGATCGTTTTATACGTGTGTCTAAGTAGTTTTTGCCAGGGCTCCTGTAAAACAATTCTGAATCAGACATTTTGTAGCCAATTCTTGAGACAGCAGATATCTGGGTAAGGTCGGGTAATAGGCAACCCGGAACCCGGGTAGTATGTCTGGATTATTTCACTGCAGCATTAAACAAAACTGTCACTCAGGGATCACATTTGGTGCAATTGTTATTTTTTTAATTTAAAATATTATTTTCATGTTTCCCTCATGAACCTACTGAACCCATAGTCAGTGATAATGACGTAGCTGGACAAGTGTATGTCAGTCACAAATGTTACACAGTTGTCCTTGATATATTGTGGGCCACAGATTGTCAAAGGTTCTCAATTTGTTTTGTGGAGTTGCCTCCCATGGTCCTACCAGGATGTGCTTCCAGGATCTATTATCAGCACCACACTCTTGCTTGTGCTTTTCATCAAGTGGTGGGGGCATGGGTCGTCTTAAGGTGCTGCGATTCACTGTGCAGAATTGCATCCCTTGGGCACGCCAGAAACCTATGATTGTGGTTTCAAATCCCAGTTCGCCCTGATTATGTTTCTATGGTTTGTCAGCACCATATCTGTGCTCGTGGGTTTCACCGAAGTGGTAAACGGTTCAGACCTGCATAACTTCGGGCTTTCCTCCCACATTAAGCTGGCACACCGTGATATAACTGGAATTATGTTAAAAGCGGTGATAAGCCCGACTCACTCACTCTTCAAGTGGTAAACCTCTGCAAGAAGCTGACATGCCTTGATACAACTGACGTACTGTTCAGAGCAGCATTAAACCCCAACTATCTCACTCAATGAATGTCTTTTTCCCAGGTGATGGGCCTCTTGTGATGCGAGTCCACTCCTTCCTGGAGAGATATGGACTCATCAACTTTGGCGTCTTCAAGAGGCTGAAGCCACTACCAGGTGAGAAGGACGAACCAGTTTTTGGTACCCTAGTTTCAGTGTCTGTTGTTTTTGGTTGTTCGTTCGTTGTTTAACACCGCACTCAGCAATATTCCAGCAATGTGACGGCGGTCTGTAAATAATTGAGTCTGGACCAGACAGTCCAGTGATTGATATCATGAACATCGATCTACGCAATTGGGATACTATGACATGCATCAACCAAGTCTGCAAGACTGACCACTCGATTCTGTTGGTTACATCTTATGACAAGCAGTTGCCTCTTATGGCAAGCATTGGTTGCTGAAGACGTACTCTACCCCTGATCTTCACAGGTCGGTTACAGTGCTAGCTTGTCATGTTCACTTGGCTTTCATTCCCACATTGGTCAACATTGTCAAGCAAATCCCAATCTCATTAAAATCAGATCTTAGTTCTCGCTGCCGCTGATTTGAGAAAAAAAAGATCTGAGGACATCCCATTACGGGTCACGTCAGACCGACCTTTCATCCGACCAATCAGAGCAGCTTACCAGATCAGGAAAGTGACAATACTGCTTTTTGCAATCATGAAGAACAACACTTACATTGTCAGCCATTTTGCAGCATCTGTTCTCTCTACTGAAGTGATGGTGGTGAATGGGTCCGGAGTATTTATCATAATAAAATGATATAGAAGAGAAAGGATACGTTGATTCTCGAGGATGAGACACATTCTGCACTTGACCTAATTAGCTTCTTGTTCCAGCAAGGGGCGGTCGGGTAGCCTAGTGGTTAAATCGTTCGCTCATCACGCCGAAGACCTGTGTTCGATTCCCGACATGGGTACAATGTGTGAAGCCCATTTCTAGTGTCCCTCGCCATGATATTGCTTGAATATTGCTAAAAACGACGTAAAGCCATACTTGCTCACTCTTGTTCCAGCATACAAAAAATACCGGTATTGCGGATGACTGTAACTCACCAAGTATTGCTGTGTCTTATTGTGTAAGAATCTGAGGGAAACAATCTATTTCAGCCAAGAAGCACGGTCGAGTGGTGGTGATCGGAGCAGGCATCGCAGGGCTGGGAGCTGCCAGACAACTCCTGTCTTTTGGGATGGATGTTGTCATCATTGAAGCAAGGGTAAGTCTGTTTGACTTAATGGAAACATTAATAACAGTCGCTGTGCTATTTTATTTGGTGGTGATTCCAGTGTAACAGGCTGAAACAACCCCAGTTCTTTCCTGGGAAAAGTTTAGTCTACACAATTTCTTCCCTGGGACAAGATTTCTGATTTTTTTAAAGAAAAACAACTGAATTTTGGGTGATCACTTGCTTGATAATGGTGTTAGACCCTACAGCAAAACGTTATTGTAATCAAGAAGTTGTTCATCCATTTATCTTATCCCTACTTAGTATTCCAACTTCTAACAAAGATGTTTGAACTTTTGGTTAGAACTTTGAGGCCTGACCATGTAAACAGTGTAAACAGTCTCTATACTATTTTTGGGGTTGGTTATTCCGATTTTACAGGCTTAAACATGCAGGCACATGCAGGGGGCACATCCAGCATACACGTCCAGGGGGCACATCCAGCATACACGTCCAGGGGGCACGTCCAGCATACACGTCCAGGGGGCACGTCCAGCAGGCACATCTAGCGGGCACATGCAGGGGGCACATCCAGCATACACGTCCAGGGGGCATGTCCAGCAGGCACATGCAGGGGGCACACCCAGCGGGCACATGCAGGGGGCACACCAAGCATGCACATGCAGGGGGCACATCCAGGGGCACATGCACATGCAGGGGGCACACCTAGTGGGCACATCAAGCATGCACATGCAGGGGGCACATCCACGGGCACATGCAGCGGGCACATGCAGGGGGCACACCTAGTGGGCACATCAAGCATGCACATGCAGGGGGCACATGCACATGCAGGGGGCACACCCAGCGTGCACATGCAGGGGGCACACCTAGTGGGCACATGCAGGGGGCACACCTAGTGGGCACATCAAGCATGCACATGCAGGGGGCACACCCAGCGGGCACATGCAGGGGGCACACCTAGTGGGCACAACAAGCATGCACATGCAGGGGGCACATGCACATGCAGGGGGCACACCCAGCGGGCACATGCAGGGGGCACATGCAGGGGGCACACCTAGTGGGCACATCAAGCATGCACATGCAGGGGGCACATGCACATGCAGGGGGCACACCCAGCGGGCACATGCAGGGGGCACACCTAGCGGGCACATGCAGGGGGCACATCTAGTGGGCACATCAAGCATGCACATGCAGGGGGCACACCCAGCGGGCACATGCAGGGGGCACACCTAGTGGGCACATCAAGCATGCACATGCAGGCGGCACACCCAGGGAGCACGTCCAGGGGGCACATCCAGCGGGCACACCCAGCATGCACATCCAGCGGGCACATCCAGCGGGCACATCCAGCACACTCAAAGAACAGAACAGAACAATGTTTATTTCTCATAAATCACTCAGTGATTTAGAGAACATACATTTTACAGTTGATCAAATACTAATAATATTACATTAAGTAATACGTTACCACTGTTATACCGAGGCTGTTGTCTCCCACAACTGCTGCTATAGCGAAATCTACCACAGAGATCTCAATTACCTCATGCAGCACGTGCGTAGCCACCTAGCTGCCATGTGACACCCTTCACTCTTGTCTCCTTCGTCTGCTTAGCAAGACGTGTTTTCTCCTGCTGAAGCGTTCCTTGAAGATTTGGTGATATTTATTATAGTTTATTCTCTAATAAACTGTGCTTTTATGGGTCGTTGCGGTAGCTACGCTTGGTTATAATTTTCCCGCCCTTTTTTCTATATACTTGCGGAGTTCGCGTATGCACGTTGTGTTTTACGTTTCCCCTGTTCTTGTATGTTTTGGGGGTTAACATAACTTATTTCTTTAATAAAAGTTATATGTGTATGTTATATGTTCACATTGCTCGTTTATTTTCTTGTGAAAATGTTCGTTTGTGAATCATTGTGGTGCGTGCGTTGTAACCATGTTTTGTTCTTTGTTTATAGCAAACAATCAATGTCTGACATGGATATGTCCCCAGTAACCACCCCCTCTACCCCTGCTCCTCGGAGTTGTGGGGTGTGCAGAAAGTTTTTGTCGTCCTGGGATCCCCACGATCGTTGCCCCCGGTGCAGGGTTCCTTGCGGGGACACCCGGTGCATCCTGTGCGAAGGTCTGGGGCCTGCGGTGTTTGAGCGGTACCGGCTGTACGTACAGTCCGTCTCCACCCCTGTGGTGGCCGGTTCGTCCGGTCGGGGTCCCCGTGCGGGTACCACCTCCTCGGCTGCGGCTGATCCCCTTGCGGCCCTAGGGCTGTCTGGGGATTCCGTCGCCGCATTGTTGTCGAAACTTGTGGACTCCAAGCTGGCGGCCTTATCGCAAGATAGGCCGCTGGCTGTTCCGTCCCCGGCCTCTTCGGTGGCCGCGGGGTCGGACGCGGGGTCCACCGGTAAAGCGGCGGATCTCTTGGCGGCCTGTGTGCTGTCCGGGGATTCCGTCGCTGCATTACTTGCATAACTTGTGGACTCCAAGCTGGCGGCCTAATCTCAGGATAGGCCGCTGGCTGTTCCGTCCCCGGCCACTTCGGTGGCCGCGGGGTCCACCGGTACGGCGGCGGCTCCCGTGGTCACCGGTCCTTCCCCCGAACCGTTGCTCCCGCTATCGGTTTAGGACCGCGTGGCCATGGTTTATGACCTCTTTGAGGACATGCCCCGGCCGGTACCGCGGGGAATCCACGACTGTGGGTTCCTCCGAGGTATACGATGAGTCTTCCGACACGGCTTTCCCCGCATCGACCTTGCTGCGCGGTTTCAAGCCTTCCTTGGAGAACGCCTTCGCGGCGGCCTCCGGTCGGGGTCTCCCGTTGCCTCCGACGTCGTGGAGAAAGGGTTTATTCCCGGTACATGACCTTGCCTTTCCCGAGGCTGGTCCTACCGCAGAGGCCCATGTTGAGCGGTTGGGTGTCCGTGCCCCACCGGCTGCTACGGTAACGCAAGCTACCTTGCACCAGCTGGACGCCCTCGCTCGGCACTCCATGTCTCACGGAGACACTTACTTGGCTGCAGCGGCCCGTCTGGTCGAAGGTTCTCCCACGGACCGTGACCAGCGCATTTACAACTGCCTGCTCAGTTTAAATGCTTCCCTGGAGTACGTTGCCGAGGACTCTCGGCACACACTTGCTCTTGTTGGGTCCCTGCATAGGCGCCTGGGTGCCGCTCCTAACCGGAGCGCGCCCCAGGCTGCTGCGGCATGTAGGTCTAAGGGGTCGGGTTCTTCTTCCTCTGGGAAGTAGCCCCGCCCTGAGGGCTCCGGTATGGGCAATCAGCTGCCCTTTCGCGGGAAGACGGGGAACTGGGGGAAGCCCAAGTCGTCGACGGACGGCAAGGGCCCCTCCAGGTGACTCTCATTGGAGGGGTTCGTATGCCGACAGCGCCAACTTCGGTTGGCTCTTAGGCGAACCCGAGTCACTTGGCCCTGGACAGTTGCGCCTGCCGCAACCTGTCAGGGCCCCCTCTCCTTCCCCAGTGGGAGCCAGACTCCAGACTTACTGGGAGAATTGGGAACAAGTGTTCGACGACCCGTGGGTGGTCAACACGATTCGGTACGGCTATCGGCTTGATCTCAAAGCGAATCCGCCGCTCACCGTTGCCCCGTTGGCAGGTTTCGATTCGGAAACCGATCTTCCCATCCTCGCCGATGCCATCGGCAGGTTGGTGGAGAAGGGGCAGTACGGGAGTTAGCTCTACCAGAAATAACACCGGGGTTTTACTCCAGGATATTTCTCGTTCCCAAGTAGGACAGTGCCGAACTCAGAATGATTCACACGTCCGCTCCCTGGCTGTTCACCCGGTTAACCACCCCCATAGTGGGGTTCCTCCACAGGAGGGGTGTCCGGTACTTCGCGTACCTGGACGACTCGCTAGTAGCAAATCGAATGACGGACACCCTGTCACGCCATCTCGATTTCGCACGTCGGCTCTTGGAGCAATTTGGGTGGATTATCAATCTCCCCAAGAGCGAGTTAACCCCTTCTCAGAACTTGCTGTTCATCGGAGGTCGGTTCAACACGGTGTCCCATCGCCTCTTTGTCCCCCCAGACCGGTGGCACAAAATTCAGGCGATGATTGCCAAAGTCTTAGCGGTGCAACAGACTGTTCACTTTTGGTCACAGCTGTTAGGGCTACTTGTATCAGCCCAGGACTGCACCGCACGGGGTCGTCTCCAACTCCGCCCGCTGCAACGGTTTTTAATCCAGTTGTTAGCAACGGAGGTGAACAGTGCGACCGTCGCCCTCCCGGATCGGCTCCGACCGCATCTGGAGTGGTGGACGGTCCCTTACATTGTCTTATCAGGACTCTCAATGCGGCCCTACAGGGCCACGTTGACCCTGTATACAGACGCCTCTCTAGTGGGCTGGGGCGCCCATCTAAAGGGGGAGGTGAGCTCGGGGCTGTGGTGCGTAGACGAACTAGGTCTTCACATCACTTGTCTCGAGTTCAAGGCAGTGATCAACGCAGTCAATCACTGGAAGCATCGTCTCGTCGACGCCCGGCTCATGCTGGCGACCGACAACACGACGGTAGTGTCCTATGTGAACAAACTGGGGGGAACCCACAGTCACTCGCTACTCGATCTCACGTTCGAGTTTTACGCTCTGGTGGACAGTGTCCCGTGCCAGATACGCGCCCGTCACATCCCAGGTGTGCGGAACGTACTGGCCGATGCTCTATCGAGGCCTCAGGATCCGAGCCCCACAGAGTGGATGCTGAACCCAGTAGTGTTTCAGTGGCTGTGCGAACGTTTGGGTCGTCCGATGGTCGACCTGTTCGCAACGCGGTTCAACAATCAACTCCCGTTGTTTGTATCACCAGTCCCTGACCCGAGGGCCATCGATCACGATGCTCTCGCGTTAGACTGGACGGGCTTGGTCGCTTATGCTTACCCGCCGACAGCGTTGATACCACACATTCTAAGCCGGCTCCGAGGAGTTCGCTGTCGAATGTTACTGATCGCGCCCATGTGGCCGAACAGATCGTGGTACCCCGACTTGCTGACCCAGGTCACGCAGTCGCCACTTCCACTGCCTGTGAGACCGGATCTCTTGATCCACCCTCACACCCGTCAGCTTCATCCAAACGCAGGGCAGTTCAATCTGCACGCGTGGATGTTGTCACCGAGCGTCTGAGGAGTAAAGTTTTTTCTCGCCGGGCGTCTCGGGCATACGTTAGTATGCATCGTGATTCTACCCAGAAGGTGTATAATGCACGTTGGGTTATTTTCACGAAGTGGTGTTGTAAACATCACATTCATTCGCCAGATAAGGTATCTGTGCAGGATATTGCTCGTTTCATGTCTCACTTGCGAGAGACCCGGAAACTCTCCGGGGGTTCCATTGCCAACTATGTCTCGTCCGTTGCTACGGTACGGGACGTTGCTATGGGTACCAGTCTCTCCAAAGAGCCGGTGATACGGGGTATTATCAAGGGTTTCAAACAGCACGATCTTAAGAAGGGCCGCCTTCGGGCACCGGCCTGGGATCTTTCCCTAGTGTTGCAATCACTTACGGAAGCTCCGTATGAACCCTTACATAGTGCTTCGTTCCGGCATGTGACTTGGAAAACAGCATTTCTCCTCTCCTTTGCCACGGCGGCACGTGTATCCGAAATTCATGCACTCGATGTCGCCAAGGTACGATTCGATAGGGGTGACGAAGGAGCGGTCCGCCTGGGCCTGCTCATGGGCTTCGTCGCCAAGAATCAGAGAGTCGGGCAAACGGAGAGAGAATTCACTGTAAGATCACTCAAAGAAATCTTACATCCTGCTGATACTGAGGACAGAGCGCTGTGTCCGGTTAGGGCCCTTAAGTATTATCTTAAGGCTTCGAATGAACGTAGACAAGGGCGTGACCGTCTGTTCATATCGTGTAACCCTAATCGCACGGTTGACATAACTCGCAACTCGATTGCGTTGTGGCTTCGTTCTGTCATCAATCTGGCGTACCGGTCTCGGGGGTTACTGGTAGCGGGGTCAAACCCGCACGAGATCAGAGCGCTAGCGGCAACATTTGCCCTACACTCGAATATCTCTGTTCGCAGAATATTACGAGGTTGTTACTGGCGTTCTGACTCGGTTTTTGCCAATCATTACCTCAAACAGGTCGCTGATGCCGTCGTGGAGAGTGTGCACCGTCTTGGCCCGCGGATCGCGGCGCAAGCGGGCACCTAAGGGGTGTGCCCAGCGCAATTCCGAACTCCTCAGGCGTCTGACCTTGCACGGTGGTCAATCTGGGTCGACTCAAATGTTCCCACTGCCGTGGGTACAGGAGTTTGGGTCCCGCAAACCAGCGCACTCACACCACAGGTGAGGGCGGCTTTTTGTGTGCTTTAGTCCTTATTTGTATTTTGACAATTATGTCTTTAATTGTCTGTCGTGTATCCCAACCTTGTGATGCATGCTTACAAATACTGGAATTAGGTCACGCGCCTAATGCATACTTTAAGTAGGCTTGCTCTGGGATATACGGTCTGAATGAAATTAATTTCCCTCTTTTCGACTGTTTAACCTGATCTAAGATTTAGCTCACACGGATACTGTGTTCTCATCCGCTGCGGCGATGAAATACCTATCCAGTGGGGCCGTTTGGAGTCACCAATCGTTTTGGCAATGACGATTGAGCCTTACGGTATGCGCTTGACAGTGCTTTGGTATTCCTATAGGGTAACGCCTAGCTAGGTGCATGCGCATCGAGTGCTTCCGCCTTGGTGTTTACTTCCGCTGGTCGGAAGGAACGCTAGCAGTCAGGATTCGGGTTGTAGGTGCTCCCCACCGCCTACTGTGGTAGTCAGCCTCGGTATAACAGTGGTAACGTATTACTTAATGTAATTTGTAGAATTTTCCTATTCGGAATATTCTATAAGTAATACGTTACCACTGGGCTGCTGCCCGCCCGTCCGTCCCCCGAGCACTTGCTCTCGCAAGAGACAAGAGTGAAGGGTGTCACATGGCAGCTAGGTGGCTACGCACGTGCTGCATGAGGTAATTGAGATCTCTGTGGTAGATTTCGCTATAGCAGCAGTTGTGGGAGACAACAGCCTCGGTATAACAGTGGTAACGTATTACTTATAGAATATTCCGAATAGGAAAATTCTACAAATATACACGGTGGTAGGGCTGCAACGAATACACTATGAGGCGAATACGATTCATATCACGAATATAGGGTAACGCATATGAATATTTATTCATGAATACAATAACAAGTCAGCAGTTGATGTATTATTTATTATAGTCAGTGAAACAATAACAACATAAATTATTTGTCATATATGAGTGTTGTGTTTGTAGAAATCTATGTATGCATATTATAAGTTCTTATGGATATTTTTAGGTACAGGGTATGTAAATGCACATGACTGCATATTCATAAATATTCGATTCTAGTGGGCACGAAAAACGAATTCAATTCATGAATGGATTCGGTTTTATTCACCGAATACACAAGTGAATTGTAACAGCCCCAGTGAGTGGTATACTTACATACATGTGGAGGCGAATATATACCTTTTTACTTGAACACATTCAGATAACAATCAACATCATTGGAATATATACACACATTCATCATAATAAAAATATCTTGCATTTATTTCTGTAAGGACAATCCACTTTTGATATATTAACAAAACTTTGAGTAATGGCTGATATTGACAATTCATGAGATAGGTAAATTTGTGTCTAGTTGGGCAATATGCATGCACCCACTAGATCCGCCAGGGCTTGTGTGAAGTGCATATTGATGGTATTGATTTATCGGACCTTGCAGGATCGAGTTGGAGGGAGAGTGGCAACGTTCAGGAAAAACAACTATGTAGCCGATCTTGGAGCAATGGTGGTCACAGGGCTTGGTGAGCAATTTCAAAGTGTATTTACTAACATTTTGATATATTTGATACTGTAATCCTGATGCTATCAATAAAGTTGGGCTGACTTGGTTGATGCATGTCATCGATCCCAATTGCGTGGATCGATGTTCATAATATTAATCACTGGATTGTCTGGTCCCGACTAGATTATTTACATACCGTCATCATATGGCTGGAAGATTGCTGAGTTGGCGTTAAACAGCAAACAAGCAAACAGACAAACCACAAGATGATCTTGGGGCTGACTGTCATCAGTCTATGTTGACAGACCCTGGTTGATTGTGAGTCCTCACACAGACCCTGGTTGATTGTGAGTCCTCACACAGACCCTGGTTGATTGTGAGTCCTCACACAGACCCTGGTTGATTGTGAGTCCTCACACAGACCCTGGTTGATTGTGAGTCCTCACACAGACCCTGGTTGATTGTGAGTCCTCACAAGCTGCCAATGTGGCTCATGGTTCATGCTAGCGGTGACGAGTTTGATTGGTGCAAACTTATTTACAGATGGCTTTGGTGTAGCTGGGATATTGCTGACCATAGCATAAATTCACTCATCGACCTGGAACGCCTGTTTGTAAATGTATCTTGTTAAACTCAGGGCGTTAATTTTCACCGCCACAAAGTGGGGCGGGGGATATGGGTCTGTCCATCCACTCCTTAACATGCTCAAGGGGACAAATTTTCTCAAAAACTTTTTAAGTCCGAGAAATGAGGTTTTACACATGGATATTAATGGTCATGATCTCAAATTGGTGTCGTAAATTCATTTTTTACAGAGTTATGGCCCTTGCTCCATGCTTTTCAACTTAGTGCATGCATACTGCGTGAAATGGGGATAGGTTTTCTCAGAAATTACGGAAGTTACATGAATGAAAGTTTGCATGGTTATCTAAGAGACTGAGTTTGAAAAATGGTCCTGACAATTGTTTTTTTTTACAGAGGTACGGCCCTTGATCCATGTTCTAATGTGTCCCATGGCAGGGGAGGTGATAATGCTGTGTTCTTGTTCTAGTTTGTTTGAATCCCACGTTACACTGTTTACAGGAGGGAACCCTGTGACAGTGCTGAGTCGACAGATTAATATGGAGCTGCACAAGATCAAACAGAAGTGTCCGCTGTACGAGAGTAATGGCTGCACGGTGAGTATGGAAAGTATCTGACTGATAGTGGCATGAACTGACGCTACCCGTGCCCGTGGGTTTCACCGAAGTGGTAAAAGTTTGAGACCTGCATCACTTACAGCTTTCCTCCCACATTAAGCTGACATGCCGTGATATAACTGGAATACTGTTAAAAGCGGCGTTAAACCCAACTCACTCACTCACTCACTCACTCACTATAACGAACTACGGTTATAACGAACTAAAATAAGTGGTTCCTTTGAGTTTGTTATAACCATAGTTTAGTGCATAGTAATATAAAACACTCAGCGTTCTTTAACTTCTTTTGAGTGGTATATATGTATCATTCAGGCGAGTATATAAGTCATGTTCTTGATAGTTAGCCTGTGTCATGATTCACACTATATCACTGCACGGCAGACCCATGAAGATCCGGGGTAGAATAGGTCGTAAGAGTCGACCAACGGGATCGGGTGGTCAGGCTCGCAGACTTGGTTGATGCATGTCATCGTCTCCCAATGGCGTGGATCGATGCTCTTGATGTCAATCACTGGATTGTCTGGTCCAGACTCGATTATTTACAGACCGCCTTCATATAGCTGGAATATTGCTGAGTGCAGCGTTAAACAACAAACAAACATTGCATCGCAAATTTACTGATGATACCATACACAATATGCCCCCCACTGCTCCCCTCTGCCCCCCTCTGCCCCCACCTCTCCCCACTGCCCCCCTCTGCCCCCCACCTCTCCCCACTGCCCCCCTCTGCCCCCCACCTCTCCCCACTGCCCCCCACTGCTCCCCACTGCCACCCTCTGCTCCCCACTGCCCCCATTGCCCCCCTCTGCTCCCCACTGCCACCCTGTGCTCCCCACTGCCCCCCTCTGCTCCCCTCTGCCCCCCACTGCTCCCCACTGCTCCCCTCTGCTCCCCTCTGCTCCCCTCTGCCACCCTGTGCTCCCCACTGCCCCCCTCTGCTCCCCACTGCTCCCCACTGCTCCCCTCTGCCCCCCATTGCTCCCCTCTGCTCCCCTCTGCTCCCCTCTGCCACCCTGTGCTCCCCACTGCCCCCCTCTGCCCCCCTCTGCTCCCCACTGCCCCCATTGCTCCCCATTGCCCCCCTCTGCTCCCCATTGCCCCCCCCTCTGCCCCCCACTGCCCCCCTCTGCTCCCCACTGCCCCCCTCTGCTCAACCACTGCCCCCCACTGCCCCCCACTGCCCCCCTCTGCTCCCCACTGCCCCCATTGCTCCCCACTGCCCCCATTGCCCCCCCTCTGCTCCCCACTGCCCCCCACTGCCCCCCTCTGCTCCCCACTGCCCCCCACTGCCCCCCTCTGCTCCCCACTGCCCCCCTCTGCTCCCCACTGCCCCCCTCTGCTCCCCACTGCCCCCCTCTGCTCCCCACTGCCCCCCTCTGCTCCCCACTGCCCCCCACTGCTCAACCACTGCTCCCCACTGCCCCCCTCTGCTCAACCACTGCCCCCCACTGCCCCCCACTGCCCCCCTCTGCTCCCCACTGCCCCCATTGCTCCCCACTGCCCCCATTGCCCCCCTCTGCTCCCCACTGCCCCCCACTGCCCCCCTCTGCTCCCCACTGCCCCCCACTGCCCCCCTCTGCTCCCCACTGCCCCCCTCTGCTCCCCACTGCCCCCCTCTGCTCCCCACTGCCCCCCACTGCCCCCCTCTGCTCCCCACTGCCCCCATTGCCCCCCTCTGCTCCCCACTGCTCCCCAGTGCCACCCTCTGCTCCCCACTGCTCCCCAGTGCCACCCACTGCCCCCCTTTGCTCCCCACTGCTCCCCTCTGAATCCACGTGTGGCCCTCGATGCTGCACTAGTCAGGAAATTGAGATGTTGACTTTGTTTCACCAGGTTCCCAAAGAGAAAGATGAGATGGTGGAGAGGGAGTTCAACCGGCTGCTGGAGGCGACGTCCTACCTCTCACATCAGATGGATTTCAACATGGTCGAGGGGAAGCCTGCCTCTCTGGGACAAGCACTGGAGGCTGTTATAAAGTACGTTGTAGAGCTCACTGATGAGGGGGCATCGTTGTATGACAGTATGGATCATTGCTCCTGCTATCAACCAGTGGTTTGCCCAGAAGAAGAGCTGGAATATGGCTGGCCACAGCGTAACAATCAGCCTCTATCTGACTGTCAACATGCCCCCGGGACTCTTATAGACCAGGGGGCACGGGGGGCCCAGTTGTCTAAGGCGCAGCAATTCACTGTGCAGAGTTGCATCCCTTGGGCACGCCAGAAACCTATTATTGTTGGTTTGAATCCCGGTTCACCCCAGTTATGTTTCTAGGTTTGACAGCACCATACCTGTGCTCGTGGGTTTCACCGAAGTGGTAAACGTCTCATACCTGCATCACCTCGGACTTTCCTCCCACATTAAAATGCCGTGATATAACTGGAATATTGTTAAAATCGACGTTAAACCCAACTCACTCACTTACTTATAGACCAGCTCTGTGGTCTAGAGGATGGAACCTCTGCCCAGAGAGCAGAAGGTCGGTGGTTCGAAAAGGCATTAAAAGATGGTAATTGTTGTTACTCTGCCAGGTGCTCAGCATTAAGGGGCTAAAACAAGGACTGGTCGGCTCGGAGTCTGTATGCTGTGTTTGAGTGGGGTATTCATGTTAAACTGCGGCATGGTATCTCAGTGGGCTAGCACTATAAATCGGCATCAGTCCGGACCAGTGCAACGCACCAGTCCGCACACACACACACACACACACACACACAGGTCGCTATATAAGTGCAGTGATCTTGGACGTGAAGTTAAACCCAATTTCACTCAAGGGGTATCCATGTTAAACTAGCATGGTATCTCAGTGGTACCAGCAGGTGTATGCATGTCACTGCATAAGTGCTTGTGGCAGTATTCTTGGAACTCCTCTTGTTCCCCCTGTGGAGCTGGTGGTGACTGACGGGTGTCTGTTGCAGGCTGCAGGAGAAGCATGTGAAGGAGAAGCAGTGTGAGCATCAGAGACACATCATCGAGATGCAGGACAAGCTCAAGAAGAACCAGACCCAGGTATGCACAATACATCATGTCCCAGCCATTCAGTATGCCATAACTTCAGTGTTTCAGCCATTCAGTCCTCCATGCCATAAGACCCGTGAAGATTCCGGGGTAGAATAGGTCTTCAGCAACCTATTCTTGCCGTAAAAGGCGACTATGCTTGTCGTAAAAGGCGACTAACGGGATCGGGTGGTCAGGCTCGCTGACTTGGTTGATACATGTCATCGATCCCAATTTGCGTAGATCGATGCTCATGATATCAATCACTGGATTGTCTCAGTCATTTCCTGACCGCTGTCATATACAGTGATCGCTCGCTATTGCGCTCTTCGATAAAGCGCTACTTCGGTTACTACGCGCAGTAACGCATGGCTCCCAAAATTTATGTACACTTTTATTACTGATAGTTTTACACAGACACAATTGTATTGTTGTTCGTTGTTCATTTGCACATAACGCTTTTCATTGCATAATCAACCGTTTATCGCTGAATGGAGTTCTAATAATCTGTTTGAAAACATCCGCGGCAAGTCCCGGAAATACGATTGTTCAACTAGTTAACTTTTCACACTATACATCCTTTGATCTTAGAAGCGCATGCATGCAATAAAAGAGAACCACAAGCGAAGTTTATATTCTTAATTAGTGGGCAATCCAATTTGAGGCGACACTGTCACACACATGTAGTTGCTGTCACAACACGGCGGTCATTCATTTCGTAATCGCGCTTTCGTAACATCGCCTGTTTTTTTCCGTAGTTATAACAAGCGATTTCATTGGATTAAAATTTGTTTCTAATGACGCTTTCTTGCCGAAATCTACTACAAGTTTCGTGATTGGTCAATTTTGAGCACGTGACCTCAGGCAGCCAATCAAATTATAGCTGTGATACCAAGCTCGTGTTTGATAAATTTCAGAAGTTGGCGAAAGATTTTTTGTTAAATCGTGTTATTCTGAACGTTTTAAGCAGGAAATCACGATATATATTAAAAATATGGAACTTCGCGAACCCGTTGTGGAAATGTGTGTCCGAGAATTTTATTTTCAATAACATCACGGGAAATAGTGAATAATTTTTTAATTTATCGATTAAAAATGATAAATTGAAATGGAATACGTATTTCAGACATTTTGAAACGTGACAGAATTAATAAATGAATGATATTACGGGTAGATCTAGGTCCATAAAAATATATACTATTTTGATGTGACGTGAGATAAACACATATTGATGATTTGAGATTTGCCGAGCGCGCCTCGGCCTCCGTTAAACGGCTCATCGTCTATAACGCCCACCAATTATTTGGACCCCATTGGCAGCGTTGTAGCGAGGGACCACTGTAGCTGGAATATTGCTGAGTGCGGAGTTAAACAACAAACACACAAACAAATATCATTACACTTCCAAAGTTTTTTGTGTGAAATAATGAAAGGTTTGGGTTGTATGTGGGCTCAGAAACCACCGGGAGAAGAACATTTCCACTAACGGGATCGGGTGGTCAGGCTCGCTAACTTGGTTGATACATGTCATCGATCCCAATTGCGTGGATCGATGTTCATGATATTATTCACTGGATTGTCTGGTCCAGACTCGATTATTTACAGACCACCGTCATATAGCTGGAATATTGCTGAGTGCGGTGTTAAACAAAAACCAACCAACGTTGCCATAACTTCAGTGTGCCAGCCATTCAGTCCTCCATGCCATAACTTCAGCGTGAGGAGCCCCTGTAATGGCTGCATACTTACTACAAGTGAACCTGAGACGGTTTCATGTTTCTGTGGGCAGGATTTGTATAATATTCTGCTGCATTCAGCACTCTTTAGGCTTCACCACAGCGGGGTATTAATAAAATCTTGGCCAGACGAGTTAGGGATTGACACCCTGAGGGAATGACAGCTCCCCACACTGCCCGGTTCAGTGACACAATGTGCAAGGTTTAGTTGTCTTTTTCAAAGAGCAAGGACACTGAGGACCTAGAATCCTCGGTTGGATAGCAGTGATGACAATCACTATAACTCAGAGCTGTGATGGAAATGTTCCAGATGCTGACTCTGAGGGACAAGATCGAGGAGCTCCACAAGCAGTGGAAAGAAGCATCAGAGGTGAAACCCCCCAGAGACATCACCGCTGAGTTCCTCATCAAGAGTAAACTCCGAGATCTCAACGCAGCCTGTAAGGTGAGTAAACTCCGAGATCTCAACGCAGCCTGTAAGGTGAGTAAACTCCGAGATCTCAATGCAGCCTGTAAGGTGAGTAAACTCCGAGATCTCAACGCAGCCTGTAAGGTGAGTAAACTCCGAGATCTCAATGCAGCCTGTAAGGTGAGTAAACTCTGAGATCTCAACGCAGCCTGTAAGGTGAGTAAACTCCGAGATCTCAATGCAGCCTGTAAGGTGAGTAAACTCCGAGATCTCAACGCAGCCTGTAAGGTGAGTAAACTCCGAGATCTCAACGCAGCCTGTAAGGTGAGTAAACTCCGAGATCTCAACACAGCCTGTCAGGTGAGTAAACTCCCAAGATCACAACGCATTCTGTAGAGTGAATGAACTCATATCTCAGTGCAGAATATAGAGAGGAGGTCTCACATTGTCCATCACTGTTTCTACACCTTCAATGTTATTTTCAGTAATCATTTTTCTTTGTATGTTTCGACAGGAATTCGAACTATTTCAAGCTCAACAGAAAGAAATTGAAGAAAAATTAAACGAACTTGAGTCCAATCCACCGAGGTAAGTTTAATTCTGTCCTCTTATATTGGTTGTACAGTCTCAATAATATATCTCATACAAGTAAGGCAACACCTTTTCTGATTTTTTTGGTGTATGGATATTCAAGAGGGATTTGCGACTTAAGGAACACAAAGCAGCAATAAGAAAATATAAGGTTTTATTTGTGTAGACACCCTACAGCTTTACCTGTCTGCATGAATATATGACCACCCCTCCATAGCATCAGTTGAACTTCCTAATCAGCGTCAAGACATTTATGTTCTCGGTACAAGTCAGCAGTGCAGCCAGACCTGCCTATCTGGTGGCTGGGCAAATGATAAACACTGTACCATTATGTTGTTGTGGATATGTTCTTCTCCCGGTGGTTTCTGAGCCCCACATACAACCCAAACCTTTCATTATTTCACACAAAAAACATTGGAAGTGTAATGATTTTTGTTTGTTGTTTAACTCCGCACTCAGCAATATTCCAGCTATATGATGGTGGTCAGGAAATGACTGAGCCTGGACCAGACAATCCAGTGATTGATATCATGAGCATCGATCTACGCAATTGGGATATGATGAAATGCATCAACCAAGTCAGCAAGCCTGGACACCCGATCCTGTTAGTTGCTTTTACGGCAAGCATGGGTTGCTGAAGACCTGTTGTACCCCTGATCTTCACGGGTCAAGAGTGTTAAGTAGTTAGGACTGGTGTCTATTGTTTTCACAGAAATCAAACTTTTTTATTTAATCATGCAAGGGTGTTGGTGGATATTGATGACTGATGTTGGCGTTGGAGAGGTGATGCAGTGGTGTGCTTGTGTTTCAGTGATGTGTACCTGTCGTCTCGAGACCGCCAGATCCTGGACTGGCATTTTGCTAATCTCGAGTTTGCCAATGCGACGCCACTCACGACTCTGTCACTGAAACACTGGGACCAGGACGATGACTTTGAATTCTCAGGAAGCCATTTAACAGGTATTGTGCTGGCATTTTGTGATGTCACGATTGTCATTTCTTTCATTTCTGTCATGTAGTATTGTCTGTTGCCGACATTTAGCATTCAGAGTGAACTGGGTTCAGATCTAATATTGCTATACTGTAAATTAATTCTAAAAATGTGACCGTTAGTAGCTGGCATTAATTATGCATTTGTCATCCAAATTTGCCATCCAAACTCACTGTCAGATGTCAACAACATTGATATCGTCATGCAGTGTCAACAACAATGATATTGTCATGCTCACTGAAGCTTGTCAGATAGCCCAGACTGGTGCCACACATGCAAGACAGTTTTTTTGTTCTTGGCCACTTAGTCATAAGCCAGCATGAGTGATCATGAGCTGACACGAATGAGTTCATCCTGTCTCTGTTTTTAATTGTGAGAAACACATGTGGGGCATAGTGTGTTGTTTCAATGACAACATCAGCTTGTAAGATGTGAGATGACGGCATGGTTCACCCCAATAGCAATCAGTGGTTTGGTTTTTTTATCATTTTTTTAATATGTTTTTTTGTCATGCTTATAGTAGTATTATCCAGTTTGAATTAAAAATCTCTTATTAATAAAGTGACACATTTTTGTTTTGATACTCGTGTTCGCATTATTTTCGTGGCACATTAATTTCATGATTTACAGTATTTGACAGTATCACCAATATTAATTAAGCCATATTCATTGCCCAAGAAGCAGTCACATGTCATTTGACAGAAACGCTTATTGACTCCAAGTTTGGTCTATTTATATGTTGAATCGGCTCTATTTATTATGTAATTAGGGGGGCACGGGGGGCCCAGTCGTCTAAGGGGCCGCGATTCGCTGTGCAGAGTTGCGCCCCTTGGGCACGCCAGAAACCTATGATTTTGGGTTCGAATCCCGGTTCGCCCCAATTATGTTTCTAGGTTTGTCAGCACCATACCCGTGCTCGTGGGTTTCACCGATGTGGTAAACGTCTGAGACCTGCATCACTTCGGGCTTTCCTCCCACATTAAGCTGACACGCCGTGATATGACTGGAATACTGTTAAAAGCGGCGTTAAAACCAACTCACCAACGAACCAGGATTCGAACCCACAATCATAGGTGTGTAGACTGGAGTCTGTGATGGGGAAATGTTTCAAGATAATAACCATAAATACACAAAATAGACTCGGGCATAATAGCAAACCAAATATAAGGTTATGCTGAGATTTGAGGCGGTGGGGTGGCCCAGTGGTTAAGTCACGTAAGTGTTTGCTTACCATGCCCACAGCCTGGGTTTGATTCCCCACATGACTAGCATGTGTTCAGTGTCCTCTGCTGGGATATTGTTGGAACTTGCTAAAAGTGGGGTAATGCCTCATAATTGCTCATTCGCTTCTACAATATGAGGGGCACGGGTGGCCCAGTCATATAAGCGTCCGTAGATGCTGTGCAGAGTTGCGTCCCTTTGGCACGCCAGAAAGCTATGATTGTGGGTTCAAATCTGGTTCGCCTCAAGGTTTGTCACCATCATGTCACCATATCGAGCTTATGGGTTTCAGCTGTAAGTATCTAAGACATGCATCATCAAGCTGAAGCACTGTGATATTACTGGAATACTGTTCAATGTGTCATTAAACCCAACTCACTCACTCTGATATTTGGGAACCAAGGATGAAGTCGCTGCAGGTTCATGAATTATCTTTCAAATGGTTTGTTTATATTCTCCCCGCAGTACGGAACGGCTACTCGTGTGTACCTGTAGCTCTGGCTGAAGGACTGGACATCAAGCTCAACACTTCAGTCAGACAGATCCGCTATACACCACAAGGTAGGGAAGTTTATTTACACAGCTTTCTATCAAAGCTATAGACAATTTATTCATTAGAAATCGTTCTCATAGACACAAACCAAAATTATACCTTTTTTATTTACCAATAATTGCGTTGAAGTACACATGTTCACTCTGAAGGGAGGGTAGACACATTGTTATTGGCTTGATTCCCGTTTGCGATGGCATTGGTATTTCCATCCTATTATGAACTGTTCAATGTTTTTCACTGAAACTTTGCATATGCATTGCTCATCAGCTTAAAAGGTACCCTTTCCTGTGTTGAAATTTTTCTAAATTGTATGGGTTTTTTTTCTATAGAAACAATTTCGACTTAGTCTCAAACAAGGGTAGGGTTTGTTTCCAGGCCATAACTTGAAAACCTTCCAGCATTTTTCAATGCTCTGCTCATCAGTTTAACTATTTTGCAAACTTAACTTTTGCTCTTTTGAAATTAGTATTTTGTTACATTTCAATGAAAACAACTTGTTCTCTATGAATTCTAGGCTTTGTTTCCGAGCCACTACTCTCAAACTTATAACTAATTTTGCATGAAACTAGACATGTGCAATGACCAAATGCTCAACTTTTGCCTTTTCATATTTTTCAATATTTGTTTTCCATTTCTATAGTTTTCCATGGAAACAATTTTTGAAATTCTTAAGAATCTTTCTACTATGCATAAAACTACTGATTGTTGATTATGGGTACATCTACTAGCACAATACAATCTATCACCCAAATGGCTGTTACAAGTTCAGGAGTCTTGTCTGCCATGAAGTCAACATGGCATCGACTGTAGTGCTACTTCATCAATGCATTAATCAGATTCTGTACTAGTAGTTTTTGCTATTATTGTCTTTTGGATTCGCAAACACATACCGTATTCGACCCAATAAGTGCCCATGTCCCAATAAGCGCCCCCTTTTCCCGGATGCCCAAGTAAGATTTACTCACCTGTTTTTTACATACGGTCAAGAATCTTTTGTAGTCGGTTAATGAGGAGATGTTCACCAGTAAACGTAAGTAACAGTTTATCTCCAGCCCCCCAGCAACGGAAGAATATCAATAGGCTTACTGATGAATTTACGCCAATTTGACTCTGAATTGGTCCCAATAAACGCCCACCCTTTCTGTCTTTATTTTAAGCGCCCTGAGCGCTTATTGGGTCGAATACGGTATACAGTCAAGTCTCGTTAATCCGACACTCGTTAATCCAACAATCGGCTTTATCCGACACAAATGATGGGAACCGATTAAATCAGTGCTATTTAGACCCGTTAATACAACAGTCTCGCACTCCAACTCCAACACACCTAATTTGCACCGAATTGCTGAAATCACTCATTAATCAGTCTCGTTCATCCGACAGTGATCAGCGTACTCCGTGGTCATCTGCCCACGAGGACACACCCCGTGTTTTGATGTGAGACGAGTCGGCTGGTAGCTGCATATTTCAACGGCTGCAGAGATAAACTTGCTTAACAATAAACAATCACTGCTTTAAATAAACAAAACAGAATTAATCACATGCCTAGATTACCTTAATCATTAATATCGGATACAAGTTCTCGCTACCATTGAGGACATCCCATTACAGGTCGCGTCAGAACAACATTTCACCAACTTTGACCGACCAATGAAATTACTAACAGGAAGTCGACATTAGCCACTAAGAAAGCAGCTTTCATAAGCATTGCGGCACTAGTTTCATATTGGCGACTTCCATTCCAGAAAATGTGATCACACAGTTTAGGTTGTGGTTTTCCCAATGTGTTGGTGTTTAGCAACAATACACAGCTACTGGATATCTACTTGAAGTGGCATTTAGAAGTTAGTACGATGAACAAGGGAGACAGGTGTATGGATATACAACTTCTTTATTACAATGAATGTGACGTTACGGTGTAGATACTGACACTGTTATCAAGCAAGTGGATATCTTGCCTGTAATTGAGACTACCATATCCTGATTCCATGTGATCGGTGATTCCTTGACTCCAGGTGTGGAGGTGACGACGGGTAACTCTCGGGTGAACATGAACCCTCAGACCTACAAGGCAGATGCGGTGCTGTCCACGCTGCCGCTGGGGGTGTTGAAGGAGAGCATGAGGAACAGTGGCATCAACAGCCCCCAGTTCCTGCCTCCGCTGCCCGACTGGAAGGCTTCGGCCATCAAGAGACTGGGATTTGGTAACCTCAACAAGGTATGTGTCATCAGTGTTCGAAATACCTGCCTGCCCGACCGTCCTTAATCCAGGCAATAAGGATTCGCACAAATTTGAAAACTACAGGCCCGACGTCATCTGCCTGCCACGGGCCTATCCTGACCAAGTTCATGAGGTTTTTATCGAATCATATCACAAATCGACAGGAGGGGAAATAAATAATTAAGATGTCTTTTTATATTTAAAAGAATCCATGATGATATTTGTTACTGCACGGTGCTCATATGCATATTGTCTTGTGTATCATACATACCAGCCTTTGGAGAGAGGAATGATACCCTTTTGGCTTCAGGAGAAGTCTTTGCTTGGCAGGCTGGAGAGAATAAGGTGTTGCTATCTTGTGTCGTGGGTGGTGCTGTGTTTTGACCATAGCTGTCATCTCTGTTGTGTCATGGGTTGTGCTGTGTTTTGACCACAGACTAACACTGTCATCTGTTGTGTCGTAGGTTGTGCTGTGTTTTGACCACAGACTAACACTGTCATTTGTTGTGTCGTAGGTTGTGCTGTGTTTTGACCACAGACTAACACTGTCATTTGTTGTGTCGTAGGTTGTGCTGTGTTTTGACCACAGACTAACACTGACATCTGTTTTGTCGTAGGTTGTGCTGTGTTTTGACCACAGACTAACACTGTCATTTGTTGTGTCATAGGTTGTGCTGTGTTTTGACCACAGACTAACACTGTCATCTGTTGTGTCGTAGGTTGTGCTGTGTTTTGACCACAGACTAACACTGTCATCTGTTGTGTCGTAGGTTGTGCTGTGTTTTGACCACAGACTAACACTGTCATCTGTTGTGTCGTAGGTTGTGCTGTGTTTTGACCACAGACTAACACTGTCATCTGTTGTGTCGTAGGTTGTGCTGTGTTTTGACCACAGACTAACACTGTCATCTGTTGTGTCGAAGGTTGTGCTGTGTTTTGACTACAGACTAACACTGTCATCTGTTGTGTCATAGGTTGTGCTGTGTTTTGACCACAGACTAACACTGTCATCTGTTGTGTCGTAGGTTGTGCTGTGTTTTGACCACAGACTAACACTGTCATCTGTTGTGTCGTAGGTTGTGCTGTGTTTTGACCACAGACTAACATTGTCATCTGTTGTGTCGTAGGTTGTGCTGTGTTTTGACCACAGACTAACACTGTCATTTGTTGTGTCGTAGGTTGTGCTGTGTTTTGACCACAGACTAACACTGACATCTGTTGTGTCGTAGGTTGTGCTGTGTTTTGACCGAGTATTCTGGGACCCCAATGCCAACTTGTTTGGACACGTAGGCAGCACTACAGCTAGTCGTGGTGAGCTCTTCCTGTTCTGGAACCTGTACAAGGCGCCGGTGTTGCTGGCGCTGGTGGCTGGCGAGGCGGCAGCCATCATGGAAAATGTCAGCGATGATGTCATCGTGGGTCGGTGCATCGCAGTCCTCAAGGGTATCTTTGGCAACAACGCCGTACCTCAGGTAAACACTTGATTTTTTAAGCCACACCAAAGAATTTACATGCAAATGTTTCAACTTAACCAGAGTTATAGCAAGGGAATCTGAAGAAAAAAAATCAAGATTGAAATAAGTTCTTCCCCTTGACAAAAAAACAGCGATAAGTGTCTGAGACTGGCAATTGATCATTTCTAACACGGCACCTTGAGATTTACAGAAAATGTTTTAGCTGCCATTAACTTTGGTAGGATGTAACGCTTATTTGTATGGTAGCCCAGTGATTAATGTGTTTCCTTGTTATACTAAATACCTGGGTTTGATTCCCAATCTGGTTAACATGTACATGCAATGGCAGAATGAAAAAACAAAGACTTTCTGACTAGAAGAATTAAACTGCGTTCTTCTGAAAATCTAGTAATTAGCTTCCACACGTGACTATATTTCCCTGGTGTTTCAGCCGAAGGAGACGCTAGTGACCAGGTGGCGAGCTGACCCTTGGTCAAGAGGCTCGTACTCCTATGTTGCAGCAGGATCGTCAGGTGAGCTACAACCTATCATTGATACTTGGATTTGGTGACAAAATAACTTTTCCATAAATACTTGGGAGAAACTTGTTTTGCGTCATGTTTTAACACACACACACACACACACACACACACACACACACACACACACACACACACACACACACACACACAAAGAGAAATTGGTCGCTGTACATGCTCGATGTCATAAACAAATGTGTTGTGAATGGGGACCGCCTCCCTGGGTATTCATGTTAAACTGTGGCATGGTATCTCAGTAAACTAGCACTATAAATCGGCATGTCCGGACTAGTCGCACGCACGCATGCACACATAAAGTGCAATAATCTTGGACGCAAGTTTAAACCCAATTTCACCTCACCTCATGGAATGGAATATTGCTCATGATATCAATCACTGGTTTCCAATTATTTACAGGCCTCGTGTCAAAATGCTGAAAATATTGCTGAATGCAACATTAAAAAACAAACAATTTTTAGACAGTATTGTGACATATTTTTTTCTGTTCTGTCCAGGCAACGATTATGACCTCCTCGCCACGCCAGTGTCACCACAACAAGGAAGTCTACCACGTCTGTTCTTCGCGGGGGAACACACAATCAGGAACTACCCTGCAACAGTGCATGGAGCTCTGCTGAGTGGACTGAGAGAGGCTGGACGGATAGCAGACCAGTTTCTCGGAGCCCCCTACGCCCTCCCGACGCGGCCCCCAGCAGCGCCACCTATCACCACATCCTAGAAACATGACCACCGCCACCATAATGTTCATGTAAAGACTCCATGTCCGTCAGCAGTGTCAGGCACAAGGGAGTATAGCTTGGCACTGCCTGATCCTGGGAATTCATGTGCGATGCCTTGGTGCTCTCTCAGTGACATTGCCAGCGCTACTCGGGAATTCAAAGAAACTTGAATTTGGTCAACAGATCATCGCTAGAGTTCAAGAACTTGAAATGCAAAATTTTACATCTAAAGATGACTTCTTAGTCACCATGTTGGTTGCATTATTAAGTTCTCATACATCTGACTTATATTCACCACCTTAAATTTCCAAACATTTAAACTCAATTTCCCTTCACAGAACTACAAATTTCCTTTCATTTAATCTTCAGATTTCCATAAATTAACACAATTTCATGTACAAGAACTTATAGACGTATATATTTAAGGTTTCGTCTCCAAACACAGATACCTTAACATTCTTTCTTGTCATTTCTTGTTTAAGGTGTAGCTTTAGAGAAGCCAGTCAGAAAGAAGTTAGGAGCATTATCGAGGACAATAGTTGGAAGTACCTAGTTTTTTATCAATTGTCCGTTGCGAGAGTATGACACCTGCCTATGGCCGCTGTTGGATAGGCATGGCATGATCACTGGACCACCAGTCCTTTAGTAGAGAGTGCTGCAGCTAAGATGGGTTGCTAAGACCATTGTTGTCTTGGAGCCAGCTGCAACTTCAGTTACCCACGATTAGAAATTGAAAACAAATGGTTCTCAAACAATTGAAACAATGAAGCATTTTCTGTTTGAAAACGTGATATGGGTTCAACATATTCAGGGTTTTTTTGCTCTAAGATTTAAATAAAAGGCTTTATGCAGAAAGGCATCTCCCTGCCTCATATGTAGATAGTAGCAATTTGAGAGTTTGTGTTCAGTTTACTTTGCGCTGTACATAATGCTGTGTGAATGTTGGAATGATTCACAATGATTCATGCTCATAATTCAGTTCTCATGTGTATAAATTCCATTGAATCATGTCAGGTCAACATCCTATACAACGATGGCAGCTAACACAAAGGACTCGACACATTTTCCATCCTCTGTGGTCAAGGGTCTGTTTCTGTTCCAGCATCTTTCACCCGTGATCTCAGTCTTGAGTCCATGTCTGCAGTTCCTGATTGGAGGATGCATTAGTAGTTAGCCAACAATACATTCTTTTTTCGTCTGCAGCAGGATTTAAAATATTCAAATTCAAGTTCTGGGACAAAAGAAGTCCCAATGTTCATTTAAGAAATGATGTAGGTGACATTGTTGCGTGTGTGGTCTGGCAGAATATGTGTCATCATCATCATCATCATCATCCCCATCATCATCATCATGACCCTTTAATGTCAACCACCCGTGTGCATGGAACATGGCTGATTGCAGCACTGTATACTACTCAAAAAAAGTTAAGGAACACTTGATATTTAGCCATGACAGATTAACTAGTGTGAAATAAATCTGTTCTTTAACTTCTTTTGAGTAGTATAGAATACTCTCATACACTCTGATCATAGTCTAGCTTTTCGAGGCCAGTAACATATCGGGTCTTTATCGGTATTTCGATTGTTGACGAGACAAGACAATTGACATCCCTGGTTGAGACCCAAATAACAGTGATAAGCAATTTTTTTATTATTCATGTTGGAATAGTCATAGACATTGGAATAATGTTTCAAGTTAACAGTCTGCCTCAAACATTTGAACTGCTTGCCTGAACCTGTCACTTGACATCATTTTCGGTTGATCTTAGTGCTAATGTGTGGACTTAAACCATACTAGACCAAAAGAAACTTTACTTGAGTCCGTTTTTTCACTAGTGGCTAAAGACTAAGTTACTGGTCTTGCCGTGTTTAAACATCTTGTGAGTGACAAGACTTGATGCATTAGGTGGACAAGAGTTGGAAAGATACCATCTACTTGTGTCTTCTTCTGTGTTCAATCCTCACATCAGTAGAGATGTTTGGAGACTCTGATCCAGTAAGTGTGCTTCATTTGCAACATCACTCCGTGACCTTTTGTTGCCGCCGTCAGTGTACAAAGGAACACTTGTTTTGAGATCCACGTGCTGAGCTGTATTTGTAGCATTGTGGGGTATCATCTCTGTGGAGATGTTGTTAATTAGGCTTAAAAAAAAATAATAGTCTTGGTTCTCAGGCACCGGCATCATTATCGTAAAGTTCACCGCACAGTTCATATTTATTTCCATTTTTAATAAATTATAAAAAAAATCCTTAAATATTCCAAGTCCAACAGTAGTCAAATACTGTATTCCATTATTCTACTCATCAAGGAATACATTTATGTAGGGAGGCCCTTCCCAGGTTGATTGTACACAACTGTTTATTTGATTACCAAAATGTTTATATGGTTACATACTAGTTTGAACCACAACAAAAAATTACACCGCCCACCCGCACTATATTTTAAAAAAACATTGCCTGAGAACCCATACTTTTATTTTTTTAAGCCTTACAAGTGAAGTGCTGACGTTTCCAATTGGACGTGTGTCCTAAAGCATGTTAAGTATCCTGTTAAGTTATTCTTTATTTTTGTATCAATGTTTGTCTTCCTCGTGGAGTAGATGTAGAAAATAAAATTGTACAATTCGACCATTTGTTGATTTATACTCGGAAATGACAGTTGAGTGTGTGACGGGTTTGATGATGCTCTGAGAAGTACAGTAAACTACAGTCATTATGAACTCAAGGGGACCACTCATTTTAGTTCGTAATAACCGTTGTTTGTTATACATACATATAGCATATATACAACAAATGGTTGGGACCAAAAAATAAGTTCATTATAGGCATGTTCGTTATAAACATAGTTATATCTCGGCGGGTCAGCTGAATGCTGGAGGAAAGCTTGATAATGACGTTTGAATATACACTATTTTGCCGCCGCACACCAGGACTACGGTTCATGGATGCTTTGTGGGATCCAACAGTAAGGTATGACACTGAAACAGTGCTGAAACCTCATCACACCATACTTAAGTGAGCATGTTTAGTGCCACTTTGAGCGGAATTTCATGTTTGCTCAAAGTGCAACAAGTGGGTAAATGTTATCCATGCAATAGTTGGCTTCACTGACAGCGTTAGGCTAAAAAAAAAAGTAATACCGTACTCGACGTAATAAGCGCAGAGGGCGCTCTCAAAATTAGAAAAAGGGGGCTCTTATTAGATCATAAATTTCATGGCTTATGCTGACAGCCTGAAATGTTTACATACGACAGACATATTTTTCCAGAATTTAATTGCCCATAATTAAGGGTGCATATAACACAAGTCTGTATTATACACGAATAAATAAATCTTGTGTACATTGATCAATCGGAAGGGGTGCTAATTGGGATTGTTCTCTAGCCAATATATTAGCAAATATTGCTCTGGGCGCTTATTAGGTCAAATACGGTAGTCTTGGTTCTGTGACACTGCCTGCATCATCATGAAGCCTGTTGAATGTTTTGCGAATTTTTTTCTTTAAATATTCTGTGTCACGAACACACGACCCCAGCAGTGAACATATACAATACTTAAGAATGACATGATTTCGCCAAAATTATTGTAAACAAAATTTGATTACATACTAGTTTGACTCATGGGGAAAAAGAAACACCGCCCAATATTTTCAAAAGCATTTGCCTGAGAACTAATTCATTTTTTTTTTTTTGATGATGTGGCAGTGTCTTGTGGAAGTCAGCCATGCTCACGCTATCAACCACTGGTCTGCGTGGTCCAGGCCCCCCGAGATATCCCATGATTCTAACTGTTGCTAATCACAGGACATGCAACCCAGCAATCCTCTCTGTAATCCCCTGGACTCATTCTCGGTCCATACGCATCAAAAGACATTAAGGGATTGTACTTGATGTTACCCTGCACTTGGCAATAAGGGGATTAAAAACAAGGACTGGGCCCCGTTCCACCAAACGATCTTAGTGCTAAGACTGCTGTAAGTCTATGTTAAAGTATGGGAGTTACGCTACAATTGCTTTGTGGAACGGGGCCCTGGTCATCATGTCTGAATGGTGAATCCTTGTTAAACTGTAGCATGGTATATATCTCTGACCTTACTCACTTAAAAAACTCAAAACCCAGATCCATTGAAAGAACACATTAAAATTGTTTAAGTTTTATTATTTGACAATATTTATTACATACATTTCATGTACTTGATAAGCAGGATCGTCTGTACAAAAAATAAAATAATGCCACTTGGCAGATACTTAACCAACCACCAAATCTTAAACATAACACAGGAATAATCTTGACTGGACCTCCCACAACACAGGGCCCATTAAGGCGGCCATTTTTACCGTGGTTACAGAATACTGAGAGACACGCAGCCCTCAAGTTCAAGATATAATATTCTAAGGAAGCAGTTGAAAAGTGTGATGTCAGATGAAACACTTAATTCCTGAACTTTTGAGACACAGCATCACTCTCACTCACTGACTCACGCACATGCATGCACATGCATGCACACACAAATGTTGACACGCTGAAAGAGAAAAAAGCCCTGGGTGCTGTTGTACGAAGCGATCTTAGTGCTAAGGTGATCGTAACTCCGATGCCTTAACATTGTTTAACTACGACAGTATCGCCATTAAATTGTTAAATATGACAGAAGCACAATCTCATTAAAACCAGATCTTAGTTCTCTCTACCGCTAAACAAAGATCTGAGAACATCCCATTACGGGTCATGTCAGACCGACCTTGAGCGAACTTTGACCAACCAATGGAATGACCAATCAGAAGACAGCTTTCTCGTGCTTTACGGCACTAATTTCAAATTGGCGACTACGCTTTGAAACATATTTTGACAAATTCTCGATTTAAAATTTTAAACCTGAACAAAAGAACATTGTGAATGGTTAATAGATAGTCCAGATTGTATGGATTCAGTCGTTAAACCCGTAACTATCGTTCGGAATACCCAGTGTTAAATTTCGAGTTTGCATGATTAGAAATCACATTCCCACTGTCACTTTCATGATCTGGTAAGCAACGCTCTGATTGGTTGGATGAAAGGTCGTTCTGATGTGCCCCCTGATGGGATGTCCTCAGATCTTTGTTTAGCGGTAGCGCGAACTGAGGTCTGATTTTAATGAGATTGGTCAGAAGCACTGAGATGTTTACTTTGATAGATGGAAAAACTGTTAACCCAATCCCTAAACTTCAGGAATTGAGATTTTATCTGCCACCAGTTGAACTGCTCCCTTATTCTGGATCCTTCATGGTCCTCACTGATCAGGATACCTGAAATCTGGTTCCTGACAATCTCAGACTATTGTATACCATGGATAGCTGAACAATCAAATCGAGACACAAATTAGATGAGAGTAATTTTCTTGACAATCACCAGGCATACACACCTTATTATTGATTTTAATGGTGTTTGTGCAGGATGTATTTATAGATCAATTTATTGTCACTGAATGAACAGAAAATGTTTTCCAACTAATATGCCTTGTTACCATGGTAACTGGATAACAGGGTCTCACTGAAAATGACGGTACATCAACCTTCATTTCTGAAACATAAACTGTCCACAGACTCGACGAATGAATTCCCTTCGTGGTGATGCAACTTCATTGAGACATGTCTGTACAACCACTCATAGCTGTAGGTGCTCCAGAGTCACACATCACCGGAATTATTTGTCTTCCTCTTCTTTGGGTGAATTTCTTTTGGCTGTGAGGGCTATTTCCTTCACCTGGGGCAAGAGTGGCTTGATCTCCTCCATGACAGCAGCAACAGCATCAGCGTCTGCAGCAGCAGCATCGGCCTGGAGTTTGGCCTGTCTCACCACAAGTTCTGGGGAAATGCAAACTTTATGTACGTCTTGTGTTATTCAAAGTAAGTCATCACAACATATTTACCCTTACACATCACCTTGATTTTGATGTTAAACAGAGCTGTGGATCAGGAATTTGTTGTAGCATTTGTACTGAGTGGAGGCATGGGAGGTCAGTTAGCTGCTAGGAAGTACATTGTGTGCTTGCCCTGTGTGAGTGATTTGGGTTTAACGTTTCTTTGAACTATATTCCAGTTATATCACAGTTATATGTGGTAAGAAAGCACACGGTCATAGATTTCTGGTGTGCCCAAGGGATGCAACTCTGCTAGCGACTTGTGGCCCCTTAGACGTCTGTCACCTGTGTCCCCTGCTTGTCCTGGTATGGACACATATGTTTTGGGGGGACATCCAATGAAACCTAATACAAAACTATGTTTGGTATTTAGGAGGGTCTATCTTCGGGAACAAAATATTCATATAAAAATTCCCAAACAAGCAGATCCTGTATCTGCCAAGGGACACAACTCCATCTTACCTTGAAGAGTGACTAGTGTCTTGTGTTGCTCCTTGTCCATGTAGACTTCGAGGTACTCGATGATCTGCGGCACAACACGTCCCGGTGCATGGACCATCATCTGGGTGTATGTCTGGAAAAGTATGACTGCGGCGAGGTGGAGCGACATGGCTGGGTCGCTCTCGTCCTTCACGCTCTCCACCAGAGACTGACGATGATTGAACACAATTTGTCTGAAATAAGTAAAATCATTCATGTTTACATTTTCAATTGGTTCATTTAGGTTTTCTTGATCTTGAAATATATACTGTAAAACGTGAAATTAATGCGTCTCCAAAAGAATGTGACTGCTGGCCCCTAGCCAAAAATGTGACTTAGTATGAATGCGACACCCCCTCCTCTCAAGCATCAGTGGATTTATATCTAAACAAAATGTCCTCTGTCAGGTTTACAGGAGAATCCTCACCTTAATCCAACCACACACCAAATAGCACCGCTTATTAGCGCTGAGTAGAGTACTTCAGCTAAAACAATACGTGCACGCTGGCTTGTGTCGGCCTTTAATGCAGTCGCAAAGAGCAAAGACACCGTGTTGGGTGGCGTGTGTCTGGACTTGCAGGTGTGATCAGTGATGACATGAGTGAGTAGAACGCTTGTCTTGACCCCAGCAGTGACAATTCACAGGATGTAATAAGTGTTTGACTGACATTGTTTATATTCGTGTAACAAGTGCTGCTCAATAAACAGTGATGTGGAATACATAGTTGTTTGTTTTCAGCGTATGTCTAAGTTGGTATTTCTGCTGTCCAAAATGTCTTACTGTTGATATAAATGCGATGTTTAATAATGCGAGCAAAGACCACTCGCATTTTTTGCATTTAATTCACGCTCGCGTTAATGTCAAGATTTACAGTATATCATTAGGTTATAGACAGCAAGCACCTGCCTGCTTCCCTCCACACCCTCTCCCTACCTCTCCTTCCTCTTGTCTGGTTTCTTCAGCAGCAATCCCAGGTGTGCTGATCCACACACAACATCCAGGTAGTTGAAGAAGTCATCCAAGTTCTAAAACACACAAATACACACAATGTAAGGCAATCCACATTAGTTTCTGTGTGTCTCATCGCCATTCCTTATACTTACTATACTTATATCAAATGACAAAATGCAGGATAAAATAACATGTCCAATATGGCTGCCCTGGCAGCCATGTAAAAAAGCACATCACCATTCTGTGAGCATATACACCGCTTTCCTCTTCATCATGTTGACAGGCTTCAGGAGGAGATATCGAAAATGGAGTAACACAAGAAAAAACGGTTGACGTGAAGGTGAAAGGTCGTAGTTATTGTTCATACAACATACCGGCTGCATTTTAAATCATTTGGGCAAACATTGCATTTTCAATATGGCTGCCGTGCAAACCGTTTGCCTTTGAAAGAAAGAACTAGATATATCGTCAGATCATAGGTTTTTGGACATCATACGTTTTCGGACTACTCACGCTAAAACAGGGGTGTAGCATCACACAGACATTGTAAATACTCACATGATGGCTTTAGAAAGTTGTCTCTTATTTATAAGTGAATGAGATGTTTAGCAGTTGTTTATGTGATTAGAGAGAAAACAAAGAATGATTCTTAGTGTCCAAAAACCAATAACACAGGATACTGTTCTGAATGCTTCGCTCACTTGTAGTAAGAATTTAGAAGCCTCAGGGCTGATTGTCTGATTAGAAAGTTCACCTGATACGACCTTTTATAGAGTCTTCTGATGTTCAGGCAGAGAGGTATCATATCGGAGTGGAAGATCTGATGTCAATGACATTGTTCCCTGCCTTCCCTGTCTGATGTCAATGAGATCGTTCCCTACCTTCCCTGTCTGATGTCAATGACATTGTTCCCTGCCTTCCCTGTCTGATGTCAATGACATTGTTCCCTGCCTTTCCTGTCTGATGTCAATGACATTGTTCCCTGCCTTCCCTGTCTGATGTCAATGACATTGTTCCCTGCCTTCCCTGTCTGATGTCAATGAGATTGTTCCCTACTTTCCCTGTCTGATGTCAATGAGATCGTTCCCTACCTTCCCTGTCTGATGTCAATGACATTGTTCCCTGCCTTCCCTGTCTGATGCCAATGAGATTGTTCCCTACCTTCCCTGTCTGATGTCAATGACATTGTTCCCTGCCTTCCCTGTCTGATGTCAATGAGATTGTTCCCTACCTTCCCTGTCTGATGTCAATGAGATCGTTCCCTACTTTCCCTGTCTGATGTCAATGAGATCGTTCCCTACCTTCCCTGTCTGATGTCAATGAGATTGTTCCCTACCTTCCCTGTCTGATGTCAATGAGATCGTTCCCTACTTTCCCTGTCTGATGTCAATGAGATCATTCCCTACCTTCCCTGTCTGATGTCAATGACATTGTTCCCTACCTTCCCTGTCTGATGCCAATGAGATTGTTCCCTACCTTCCCTGTCTGATGTCAATGACATTGTTCCCTGCCTTCCCTGTCTGATGTCAATGAGATCGTTCCCTGCCTTCCCTGTCTGATGTCAATGACATTGTTCCCTGCCTTCCCTGTCTGATGCCAATGAGATTGTTCCCTGCCTTCCCTGTCTGATGTCAATGAGATTGTTCCCTGCCTTCCCTGTCTGATGTCAATGACATTGTTCCCTGCCTTCCCTGTCTGATGTCAATGACATTGTTCCCTACCTTCCCTGTCTGATGTCAATGAGATCGTTCCCTACTTTCCCTGTCTGATGTCAATGACATTGTTCCCTGCCTTCCCTGTCTGATGCCAATGAGATCGTTCCCTGCCTTCCCTGTCTGATGTCAATGACATTGTTCCCTGCCTTCCCTGTCTGATGTCAATGACATTGTTCCCTGCCTTTCCTGTCTGATGTCAATGACATTGTTCCCTGCCTTCCCTGTCTGATGTCAATGACATTGTTCCCTGCCTTCCCTGTCTGATGTCAATGAGATTGTTCCCTACTTTCCCTGTCTGATGTCAATGAGATCGTTCCCTACCTTCCCTGTCTGATGTCAATGACATTGTTCCCTGCCTTCCCTGTCTGATGCCAATGAGATTGTTCCCTACCTTCCCTGTCTGATGTCAATGACATTGTTCCCTGCCTTCCCTGTCTGATGTCAATGAGATTGTTCCCTGCCTTCCCTGTCTGATGTCAATGAGATCGTTCCCTACTTTCCCTGTCTGATGTCAATGAGATCGTTCCCTACCTTCCCTGTCTGATGTCAATGAGATTGTTCCCTACCTTCCCTGTCTGATGTCAATGAGATCGTTCCCTACTTTCCCTGTCTGATGTCAATGAGATCATTCCCTACCTTCCCTGTCTGATGTCAATGACATTGTTCCCTACCTTCCCTGTCTGATGCCAATGAGATTGTTCCCTACCTTCCCTGTCTGATGTCAATGACATTGTTCCCTGCCTTCCCTGTCTGATGTCAATGAGATCGTTCCCTGCCTTCCCTGTCTGATGTCAATGACATTGTTCCCTGCCTTCCCTGTCTGATGCCAATGAGATTGTTCCCTGCCTTCCCTGTCTGATGTCAATGAGATTGTTCCCTGCCTTCCCTGTCTGATGTCAATGACATTGTTCCCTGCCTTCCCTGTCTGATGTCAATGAGATTGTTCCCTACCTTTCCTGTCTGATGTCAATGAGATCGTTCCCTACTTTCCCTGTCTGATGTCAATGACATTGTTCCCTGCCTTCCCTGTCTGATGCCAATGAGATCGTTCCCTGCCTTCCCTGTCTGATGTCAATGACATTGTTCCAAGCCTTCCCTGTCTGATGTCAATGACATTGTTCCCTGCCTTCCCTGTCTGATGTCAATGACATTGTTCCCTGCCTTCCCTGTCTGATGTCAATGAGATTGTTCCCTACCTTTCCTGTCTGATGTCAATGAGATCGTTCGCTACTTTCCCTGTCTGATGTCAATGACATTGTTCCCTACTTTCCCTGCCTGATGCCAATGAGATCGTTCCCTGCCTTCCCTGTCTGATGTCAATGACATTGTTCCCTACCTTTCCTGTCTGATGTCAATGAGATCGTTCCCTACTTTCCCTGTCTGATGTCAATGACATTGTTCCCTGCCTTCCCTGTCTGATGCCAATGAGATCGTTCCCTGCCTTCCCTGTCTGATGTCAATGAAATTGTTCCATGCCTTCCCTGTCTGATGTCAATGAGATTGTTCCCTGCCTTCCCTGTCTGATGTCAATGACATTGTTCCCTACCTTCCCTGTCTGATGTCAATGACATTGTTCCCTGCCTTCCCTGTCTGATGTCAATGAGATTGTTCCCTACCTTCCCTGTCTGATGTCAATGAGATCGTTCCCTACTTTCCCTGTCTGATGTCAATGACATTGTTTCCTGCCTTCCCTGTCTGATGCCAATGAGATCGTTCCCTACTTTCCCTGTCTGATGTCAATGACATTGTTTCCTGCCTTCCCTGTCTGATGCCAATGAGATCGTTTCCTACCTTCCCTGTCTGATGTCAATGAGATTGTTCCCTGCCTGATGTCAATGACATTGTTCCCTGCCTTCCCTGTCTGATGTCAATGAGATTGTTCCCTACCTTTCCTGTCTGATGTCAATGAGATCGTTCCCTACTTTCCCTGTCTGATGTCAATGACATTGTCCCTGCCTTCCCTGTCTGATGTCAGTGAGATTGTTCCCTACCTTTCCTGTGACGGACATATGCAACTTGGTCATCATCGTCTGTTCCGCTGCAGGGAGACTGCTGATTATCTTCAGCCTGGCCTGTGATGAACAGAAAGACACCAAGTAGAGACATGAGACCGGCTGTAACTACTCTCTCATGTCAATACCCTTGTGGAGTAACAACCCATCAAACTATATATTCCATGCCCTGATGGCAATACCCTTGTGGGGTAACAACCCATCAAACTATATATTCCATGACCTGATGGCAATACCCTTGTGGGGTAACAACCCATCAAACTATATATTCCATGCCCTGATGGCAATACCCTTGTGGGGTAACAACCCATCAAACTATATATTCCATGCCCTGATGGCAATACCCTTGTGGGGTAACAACCCATCAAACTATATATTCCATGACCTGATGGCAATACCCTTGTGGAGTAACAACCCATCAAACTATATATTCCATGCCCTGATGGCAATACCCTTGTGGAGTAACAACCCATCAAACTATATATTCCATGACCTGATGGCAATACCCTTGTGGAGTAACAACCCATCAAACTATATATTCCATGCCCTGATGGCAATACCCTTGTGGGGTAACAACCCATCAAACTATATATTCCATGCCCTGATGGCAATACCCTTGTGGGGTAACAACCCATCAAACTATATATTCCATGACCTGATGGCAATACCCTTGTGGGGTAACAACCCATCAAACTATATATTCCATGCCCTGATGGCAATACCCTTGTGGGGTAACAACCCATCAAACTATATATTCCATGCCCTGATGGCAATACCCTTGTGGGGTAACAACCCATCAAACTATATATTCCATGACCTGATGGCAATACCCTTGTGGAGTAACAACCCATCAAACTATATATTCCATGCCCTGATGGCAATACCCTTGTGGAGTAACAACCCATCAAACTATATATTCCATGACCTGATGGCAATACCCTTGTGGAGTAACAACCCATCAAACTATATATTCCATGACCTGATGGCAATACCCTTGTGGGGTAACAACCCATCAAACTATATATTCCATGACCTGATGGCAATACCTGGATAAAATACCAACAGGCACCATTGCCATGCTACACAAGGACTTATCAAGACAAGCCCTGAAAATGTATAAATTTCCAATTCATGTTAAAAATACAGCTATAGCCTTGTAGAGGGGAATAGTATTTTACTTACAACAGGCCCAGTACAGAGGAAGAGACCTAGTTATATATTTTGCATTGTTCAATTAAAAAAGGACCTAAAAATCGCAAGTATAAGAAAACTAAAATCTCAATGTACCTGCAAAGGGCACTGAGATTTCAACTCTAGATAAACCCCTGCTGGGGCTGGTATCTATTGACTTAATCAAATGCAAGAAATGCAGGTAAGCACTTACACAGGCACCTACTGGTATTCTAACCTGGTCCCCACTAAAGAGTTTATCTTGAGTCAAATGATGGTCATGTCTACACCATCCGCAACAGCCTACTCTACCGGTACATATCTCAACTCTGTTAGGATAAGGGGCGGTCGGGTAGCCTAGTGGTTAATGTGTTCGTCACGCCGAAGACCCGGGTTCGATTCCCGACATGGGTACAATGTGTGAAGCCCATTTCTGGTGTCTCCCGCCGTGATATTGCTGGAATATTGTTAAAAGCGGCGTAAAACCATATTCACTCACTCACTCTGTTAGGATAAATACCCTGGACCCATTGGATGCCATAGCTTGGTTATGAGCTTGATTCAAACAACAACAACACACACTAAAGTATAAATACTCTCACAAGCTGAGCATAGTACATTCTGTCATGTTTGTTTTATATATTTTTTCAGTTCCCTTTATTTCTTAAAGCTTTTTTTACAGTCTTGTATTCCAGATAGAGTACACTTTTTCAGCTAAACTCGAATACTGCTACAAAGTTCAAAGAGCAATGGCTGCTTACCTCTGCTGTTAGGCCCTCATCGTCCAGGACTGACATGAGGCTGTCGGTAGCGACTGCATTCAACACGGTATTGGTGATGTCGGTACACACGGTGTTCAGCAGATACTTGACAAGCTGTGTGTTGGCATCGCCTGAACAAACAACATGGAGGTTCGAGAAATGATATCATGTTCCATCGTAGATCTTGGTCCTCATCTTTACCTGGCATAAATCCTGTGTGAACTCATCACAGATATTGCAAGGACAATTATACAAACAGGAGTAAAGGACTCTCTTTATTTTCATGAAGGGGTGTTGGTGGGGTGGTCTTGATTTTTTTCAATAATTTCTCGAAGAAAAAAACTGGAAAAATCTTTTTGCTTCAGGTCTCACAAACAAATAAAACTGTTTACTACACATACAAGTTGTCCTCAGAACAATGTCATCATACGTCTTGAATCAGTCCCAAAACATCCAGCCTCCCACTCCCCCACCCCACCCCCATCAAAATGGTTTGACCCTTTTCCCTTTGCACCAGCAAACATCAACAAAGCAGATCTCACCATGAAAATGTTTTAGCCCCTTCTCAAACAGCTTAGCGTTGGTCCACAGCCCTGATACTTTCTCTTGCAATTCTCCATGGGTCTTCTTTCTGTCCGAGCCTGTCGCAGTGCCAGACGTTTCCAGGAATATAGACTTCGCCACTTCCTGGAACTGTCGAGTCAGGGGTCTGGACAGAGAAGTCAGTTAGAATGTGGACATAGTAAACACACCTGAACACTGGTCAGACATATTACTCAGTGAAACCACACTACACTAGATGGTCACCAAGACTATTGTTTTACACCGCACTCAGCAATATTCTAGCCATATGACGGCAGACTAAACTTGGCTATGTGTAAACAGAGTCTGGACCAGACAATCCGGTGACTGATATAATGAGCAATGAGTATGGCCATCAGGGTATGTTGACACAAATCAACCAAGTCACTCATAATGCTGATCCTTACCACGAGATCCATTAAGATCATAGGCAAGACAAATCTGTGATCAGCGGATCCAGAAATGGCAAAGGGATGCAACTCTGTACAGTAAATTGAAGTGTCCACCATGACCCTAAATTAAGTATCACCATTGGCCACACCCACCTAGTCCACAGCTCATTCCAGACAAGTAACTACAATTTGTGAAAAAACATCTGCCCAGAAAAATACCAAAAGATGTTAAATGATGTTACTTGCTACCCTGCCTGGTGCTCGGCATTAAGGGGATAAAACAAGGACTGGTTGACTCGGATTCTGCATACTGTGTCTGAATACAGAATCCATGGAAAACTGTGGCATGGTATCTCAGAGGGCTAGCACTGCAAAGCCAGCTTAGTCTGAGCCACTACAAGCAGCTACACATTCATGCAGGCACATCGCTACGTAACTGAAATAATCTTGGAAATGAATTACCATGCGGGCCTTTGCAGAATTGATCATAATATATTTAATGCGGTAATGACTAGCTACTGTAACTAGGCTACCAAACACCCACCTGTACAGCTTGCCGGCTATTTCACTGATCAGGTCTTCTGGACAGTCCTGGAGCTTTTCCTGTTTACGTATGACATCTGATATTTGATCGATGGCCATAAATGTCACCTCCCCAGGTTTTGTGCGTGTATTGGACTGAGCGGTGTCATCATCGGAATCGTCGTCCTGATCGCCACGACCTGTTCGATACTTTTTCTTTGTTGCTTTCATCTTTGCCTCCCGACCCTGAGTTCCCCCTCCAGTCTTTGTGCTGGCTGCAACACAGTGAAGACACTTGGTGAGGTGGACTTATACACCTGGGTGCAGGGTGCAGGGTGCAGGGTGCAGGGTTCCTTTACATCTCACATTGGGACAGGTCATTCATGGTAGAGGGGTCAGAGGTTCTTGATGCACTAATGTACTGAAATTAATTACCCTCCCCTAATGCTTGACATATTTTTGGATGACCCTACTCATGTCCTTGCACATTTTTCTCATGACCCTAACCTAAACAATAAAATGCAAAAGCACTTTATATTTCATTATATGATGTCCATTTTTATCATGACCCTCGCCACATATGGGAATTATTATTTATATCATTTATGACCCTCACCTAGGGACTGTTATATTTTTCTGTGACCCTCCCAAATCCCCCTGACCCCCCAGATAATATAGTATCTGCCCCTACTGCTTACCAAACTACTTCTCACCATAAATCTGATGCCCCGTTTTTGAAAAGCACCAGAGTACTTTAGAAAATTACTAGGGGGTGAATGCCATATAAAAGCAAAGCCAGCAATATTCCTGCTATATCACCATATCATGGTGGCCTGGAAATAACTGAGCTGGCCAGGGAATCAACGACTGAAAACGAGCAATGACCGCTATTGCTCTGAAAGCTTGAAAATATGATAATGAAAACCCACAGGTATGTTTTTTTCATTTTATCTATTTTAGCACATCCGAACCCTCTAACTTGGTCGCACTGCATAAAGGTGAGCCTCAGTACCTTGGGTACCATGGCTTCCATGAGTGACAGATTGTAAACAGGCGAAATCCTAATGACCATTCCTGCCTTTCAGAATTGATCATAACATATCTAATGAATCTGCATTAATACTCATCTATCATTTTTTTTAAAATAGATTTTGTTTTGTTTCAAAATCTTCTTCCTGGAATCAGCTACTGTGAAACCGTGTTCCTCTGCTTTGCAGCAAGGACATGCTGTTAAATAGTAACAATCTAATAATTTTGTAGAATTTTCCTATTCAGAATATTCTATAAGTAATACGTTACCACTGTTATACCGAGGCTGTTGTCTCCCACAACTGCTGCTATAGCGAAATCTACCACAGAGATCTCAATTACCTCATGCAGCACGTGCGTAGCCACCTAGCTGCCATGTGACACCCTTCACTCTTGTCTCCTGCGAGAGCAAGTGCTCGGGGGACGGACGGGCGGGCAGCAGCCCAGTGGTAACGTATTACTTATAGAATATTCCGAATAGGAAAATTCTACAAATTACATTAAGTAATACGTTACCACTGTTATACCGAGGCTGACTACCACAGTAGGCGGTGGGGAGCACCTACAACCCGAATCCTGACTGCTAGCGTTCCTTCCGACCAGCGGAAGTAAACACCAAGGCGGAAGCACTCGATGCGCATGCACCTAGCTAGGCGTTACCCTATAGGAATACCAAAGCACTGTCAAGCGCATACCGTAAGGCTCAATCGTCATTGCCAAAACGATTGGTGACTCCAAACGGCCCCACTGGATAGGTATTTCATCGCCGCAGCGGATGAGAACACTGTATCCGCGTGAGCTTAATCTTAGATCAGGTTAAACAGTCGAAAAGAGGGAAATTAATTTCATTCAGACCGTATATCCCAGAGCAAGCCTACTTAAAGTATGCATTAGGCGCGTGACCTAATTCCAGTATTTGTAAGCATGCATCACAAGGTTGGGATACACGACAGACAATTAAAGACATAATTGTCAAAATACAAATAAGGACAAAGCACACAAAAAGCCGCCCTCACCTGTGGTGTGAGTGCGCTGGTTTGCGGGACCCCAACTCCTGTACCCACGGCAGTGGGAACATTGGAGTAGACCCAGATTGACCACCGTGCAAGGTCAGACGCCTGAGGAGTTCGGAATTGCGCTGGGCACACCCCTTAGGTGCCCGCTTGCGCCGCGATCCGCGGGCCAAGACGGTGCACACTCTCCACGACGGCATCAGCGACCTGTTTGAGGTAATGATTGGCAAAAACCGAGTCAGAACGCCAGTAACAACCTCGTAATATTCTGCGAACAGAGATATTCGAGTGTAGGGCAAATGTTGCCGCTAGCGCCCTGATCTCGTGCGGGTTTGACCCCGCTACCGGTAACCCCCGAGACCGGTACGCCAGATTGATGACAGAACGAAGCCACAACGCAATCGAGTTGCGAGGTATGTCAACCGTGCGATTAGGGTTACACGATATGAACAGACGGTCACGCCCTTGTCTACGTTCATTCGAAGCCTTAAGATAATCTCTTACTTAAGGGCCCTAACCGGACACAGCGCTCTGTCCTCAGTATCAGCAGGATGTAAGATTTCTTTGAGTGATCTTACAGTGAATTCTCTCTCCGTTTGCCCGACTCCCTGATTCTTGGCGACGAAGCCCATGAGCAGGCCCAGGCGGACCGCTCCTTCGTCACCCCTATCGAATCGTACCTTGGCGACATCGAGTGCATGAATTTCGGATACACGTGCCGCCGTGGCAAAGGAGAGGAGAAATGCTGTTTTCCAAGTCACATGCCGGAACGAAGCACTATGCAAGGGTTCATACGGAGCTTCCGTAAGTGATTGCAACACTAGGGAAAGATCCCAGGCCGGTGCCCGAAGGCGGCCCTTCTTAAGATCGTGCTGTTTGAAACCCTTGATAATACCCCGTATCACCGGCTCTTTGGAGAGACTGGTACCCATAGCAACGTCCCGTACCGTAGCAACGGACGAGACATAGTTGGCAATGGAACCCCCGGAGAGTTTCCGGGTCTCTCGCAAGTGAGACATGAAACGAGCAATATCCTGCACAGATACCTTATCTGGCGAATGAATGTGATGTTTAAAACACCACTTCGTGAAAATAACCCAACGTGCATTATACACCTTCTGGGTAGAATCACGATGCATACAAACGTATGCCCGAGACGCCCAGCGAGAAAAAAACTTTACTCCTCAGACGCTCGGTGACAACATCCACGCGTGCAGATTGAACTGCCCTGCGTTTGGATGAAGCTGACGGGTGTGAGGGTGGATCAAGAGATCCGGTCTCACAGGCAGTGGAAGTGGCGACTGCGTGACCTGGGTCAGCAAGTCGGGGTACCACGATCTGTTCGGCCACATGGGCGCGATCAGTAACATTCGACAGCGAACTCCTCGGAGCCGGCTTAGAATGTGTGGTATCAACGCTGTCGGCGGGTAAGCATAAGCGACCAAGCCCGTCCAGTCTAACGCGAGAGCATCGTGATCGATGGCCCTCGGGACCGGGACTGGTGATACAAACAACGGGAGTTGATTGTTGAACCGCGTTGCGAACAGGTCGACCATCGGACGACCCAAACGTTCGCACAGCCACTGAAACACTACTGGGTTCAGCATCCACTCTGTGGGGCTCGGATCCTGAGGCCTCGATAGAGCATCGGCCAGTACGTTCCGCACACCTGGGATGTGACGGGCGCGTATCTGGCACGGGACACTGTCCACCAGAGCGTAAAACTCGAACGTGAGATCGAGTAGCGAGTGACTGTGGGTTCCCCCCAGTTTGTTCACATAGGACACTACCGTCGTGTTGTCGGTCGCCAGCATGAGCCGGGCGTCGACGAGACGATGCTTCCAGTGATTGACTGCGTTGATCACTGCCTTGAACTCAAGACAAGTGATGTGAAGACCTAGTTCGTCTAAGCACCACAGCCCCGAGCTCACCTCCCCCTTTAGATGGGCGCCCCAGCCCACTAGAGAGGCGTCTGTATACAGGGTCAACGTGGCCCGGTAGGGCCGCATAGAGACTCCTGATAAGACAATGTAAGGGACCGTCCACCACTCCAGATGCGGTCGGAGCCGATCCGGGAGGGCGACGGTCGCACTGTTCACCTCCGTTGCTAACAACTGGATTAAAAACCGTTGCAGCGGGCGGAGTTGGAGACGACCCCGTGCGGTGCAGTCCTGGGCTGATACAAGTAGCCCTAACAGCTGTTCCCAAAAGTGAACAGTCTGTTGCACCGCTAAGACTTTGGCAATCATCGCCTGAATTTTGTGCCACCGGTCTGGGGGGACAAAGAGGCGATGGGACACCGTGTTGAACCGACCTCCGATGAACAGCAAGTTCTGAGAAGGGGTTAACTCGCTCTTGGGGAGAATGATAATCCACCCAAATTGCTCCAAGAGCCGACGTGCGAAATCGAGATGGCGTGACAGGGTGTCCGTCATTCGATTTGCTACTAGCGAGTCGTCCAGGTACGCGAAGTACCGGACACCCCTCCTGTGGAGGAACCCCACTATGGGGGTGGTTAACCGGGTGAACAGCCAGGGAGCGGACGTGTGAATCATTCTGAGTTCGGCACTGTCCTACTTGGGAACGAGAAATATCCTGGAGTAAAACCCCGGTGTTATTTCTGGTAGAGCTAACTCCCGTACTGCCCCTTCTCCACCAACCTGCCGATGGCATCGGCGAGGATGGGAAGATCGGTTTCCGAATCGAAACCTGCCAACGGGGCAACGGTGAGCGGCGGATTCGCTTTGAGATCAAGCCGATAGCCGTACCGAATCGTGTTGACCACCCACGGGTCGACGAACACTTGTTCCCAATTCTCCCAGTAAGTCTGGAGTCTGGCTCCCACTGGGGAAGGAGAGGGGGCCCTGACAGGTTGCGACAGGCGCAACTGTCCAGGGCCAAGTGACTCGGGTTCGCCTAAGGGCCAACCGAAGTTGGCGCTGTCGGCATACGAACCCCTCCAATGAGAGTCACCTGGAGGGGCCCTTGCCGTCCGTCGACGACTTGGGCTTCCCCCAGTTCCCCGTCTTCCCGCGAAAGGGCAGCTGATTGCCCATACCGGAGCCCTCAGGGCGGGGCTACTTCCCAGAGGAAGAAGAACCCGACCCCTTAGACCTACTGGCCGCAGCAGCCTGGGGCGCGCTCCGGTTAGGAGCGGCACCCAGGCGCCTATGCAGGGACCCAACAAGAGCAAGTGTGTGCCGAGAGTCCTCGGCAACGTACTCCAGGGAAGCATTTAAACTGAGCAGGCAGTTGTAAATGCGCTGGTCACGGTCCGTGGGAGAACCTTCGACCAGACGGGCCGCTGCAGCCAAGTAAGTGTCTCCGTGAGACATGGAGTGCCGAGCGAGGGCGTCCAGCTGGTGCAAGGTAGCTTGCGTTACCGTAGCAGCCGGTGGGGCACGGACACCCAACCGCTCAACATGGGCCTCCGCGGTAGGACCAGCCTCGGGAAAGGCAAGGTCATGTACCGGGAATAAACCCTTTCTCCACGACGTCGGAGGCAACGGGAGACCCCGACCGGAGGCCGCCGCGAAGGCGTTCTCCAAGGAAGGCTTGAAACCGCGCAGCAAGGTTGATGCGGGGAAAGCCGTGTCGGAAGACTCATCGTATACCTCGGAGGAACCCACAGTCGTGGATTCCCCGCGGTACCGGCCGGGGCATGTCCCCAAAGAGGTCATAAACCATGGCCACGCGGTCCTAAACCGATAGCGGGAGCAACGGTTCGGGGGAAGGACCGGTGACCACGGGAGCCGCCGCCGTACCGGTGGACCCCGCGTCCGACCCCGCGGCCACCGAAGTGGCCGGGGACGGAACAGCCAGCGGCCTATCCTGAGATAAGGCCGCCAGCTTGGAGTCCACAAGTTATGCAAGTAATGCAGCGACGGAATCCCCGGACAGCACACGGGCCGCCAAGAGATCCGCCGCTTTACCGGTGGACCCCGCGTCCGACCCCGCGGCCACCGAAGAGGCCGGGGACGGAACAGCCAGCGGCCTATCTTGCGATAAGGCCGCCAGCTTGGAATCCACAAGTTTCGACAACAATGCGGCGACGGAATCCCCAGACAGCCCGAGGGCCGCAAGGGGATCCGCCGCAGCCGAGGAGGTGGTACCCGCACGGGGACCCCGACCGGACGAACCGGCCACCACAGGGGTGGAGACGGACTGTACGTACAGCCGGTACCGCTCAAAATCCGCAGGCCCCAGACCTTCGCACAGGATGCACCGGGTGTCCCCGCAAGGAACCCTGCACCGCGGGCAACGATCGTGGGGATCCCGGGACGACAAAAACTTTCTGCACACCCCATAACTCCGAGGAGCAGGGGCAGAGGGGGTGGATACTGGGGACATATCCATGTCAGACATTGATTGTTTGCTATAAACAAAGAACAAAACATGGTTACAATGCACGCACCACAATGATTCACAAACGAACATTTTCACAAGAAAATAAACGAGCAATGTGAACATATAACATACACATATAACTTTTATTAAAGAAATAAGTTATGTTAACCCCCAAAACATACAAGAACAGGGGAAACGTATAACACAACGTGCATACGCGAACCCCGCAAGTATATAGAAAAAAGGGCGGGACAAATTTTCCGTTTGGCGGGAAAATTATAACCAAGCGTAGCCACCGCAACGCCCCATAAAAGCACAGTTTATTAGAGAATAAACTATAATAAATATCACCAAATCTTCAAGGAACGCTTCAGCAGGAGAAAACACGTCTTGCTAAGCAGACGAAGGAGACAAGAGTGAAGGGTGTCACATGGCAGCTAGGTGGCTACGCACGTGCTGCATGAGGTAATTGAGATCTCTGTGGTAGATTTCGCTATAGCAGCAGTTGTGGGAGACAACAGCCTCGGTATAACAGTGGTAACGTATTACTTAATGTAATGAGAATAACAACAAAACGTCACTAGTCCTGACCCTGGTGATACGGACGTCCCACCTTCGGGAGATAACTGCTGTAGAACGTACATGTATGCAAGAATCTACACCAAGTGTCTTTTCCTATCAAACATAATGTCAATAAAAGCCTCACTCTGAAGCTTGCTGAGAAGTCTTAAACTTTTATTGACAAGCGTTGATATGGTCGATATCAAAAGACATGATCATGATGATGGTGAGATTCAATCTATCATCCAAAATCATTCCTCTAACTTTTTCAGTAATAACAAGTCTTGTGTGCAAAAAGAAGAGATAGCAAAGATCTGCAAACATTGTGATGTAATTCATTGCGACTAAATCTCCCATGGAAGCCAGTTGTTGATGACAAAAGTGAAATACTCTCGACTTAAAATTTGTTAATCAAGACAATTTCAACTGAATCACTACCATCCAGGTTAACATGATTAACAGTGTTTCACTACATATTATAGAAATACAGAACAAGACTTAGTGGTTAGTGTCGCATAAGCATGGAACAAAAAAAAGCTTTTGCTAGAGTGAAAATGTGAATAATTTTGTCAATACTAACAGGCTGCCTTTTTTCTTCTTTGGTCACGTTTGTCTTCACGAGCCGAGCTGCCATCGTCCAGACCCGCAATCTTACTCCCCTTCTTGTCTCCCTCGGGATTCAGGAACACTGGGTTGGACTTGGCCTCCTGGACACAAACAGCAGACATGGCAAATCGAGAAACTGTTTCCAAAATACAAGTTCGAAATCAGAGTTCTCTCTGATGTACTAAATCCTGAAGGGCAGATCAAGTAATGTAATAAAATATTATGCTGTGTTTTTTCAATGTTCTTTTCAAATTCATGTTATTCGTATTCCTGTTAAAACTTTTGTCAGCCATCCAGGTGACAACAGGTGAACACTGAGCAAACTTTGACTGGCCCAATCAAAATGAAGGCTGCATGGATTTGGTTTAGCCAATCAGATATCTGCTTTCTAAAACAATTTGTCACTGTCAAACTGGTTGTTTTGGACAGTGCTTGAGCGGCATTTGTACATATGTTTAGCTGGGGAGAAACGAATGTCCTAATGTCATTGATTGAAAAATGCAATTGACACGACAGGATGTATAGTATCAGTGTGGCCCTTATTATCTTCATTCAGAACTACTTGTCTAGGTTTGTTTTTGATATAGAAAAGTCTGATGTTCGGAATGTATAGCTCCCTCAAGAATTTAGAAGCCTCGACACTGATTGGCTGAGTAGAAAATTCTCCCGACGAGACCTCATATATGTCCTTTGGAAGGTTTGTCAGACCTTGATGTGGACCGGTATTAAATCGGTGTAAAAGATATGATTTCAAGTCAACCAATTTCGTAAATATAAGAAACAAACTCACCTTTCTCGCTTTTGATGTCATGAGTGCTGAAAATGGCTTGCTACATTCAGATATGAGAGACTCGCTTGCCACAATGCTGTCACAGCACACGATCACGCCCTGACGGCCTCGGAGATAATTGGCCAGCAGTTGTCCTGCATCCTTGACGCTGAATATGGACGGCATCACAGTCTGAAAACAAACACCCAGTAAACAGTATTCAAAAATGCCAAATTTAAAACTCTCGTGGATCCTTTATAACTATAAGACTTCAGATGACCATTTAGTAGGCTGTCTTAAGCACGGGATACTGGGGAGTTGTTCTTTATAAGACTTCAGATGCCATTTAGTATGCTATTATAAGCACGGGACACTGGGCAGTTGTTCTTTGTCACTCACCATAATGTCCACCCATCCTCCTGTAGAGAGGGCTTCTTCGGCTGTAGCCTCAATCTGGTCCTGAATTCCTTTCCCAGCGCAACAGGTCTTCAAGTAAGTGATTGGCTCATCCTTGAAACGCTTCTTGATAAAGCTCTTCACGTCCGATATCCCCAGTCTTGACAGCGAGTCATACTCTGTACAGAGGAGCTTACATTAAATACATACCAAAATAACATGTAGAAATGTCCTCGGTACCTGTATACACATGGCTTAGAAAACAACAGCTGTTGAAAATTCATTCATGAGAACTAACTTGATCCTCTTTGTTTGGATGCTGTTGAAAGTGTAGGCTTCCATAAATTTCCTATAAAACTTTGAATGGCAAAACCAGAAATCTTCAACAAAACTGCTCTACATACATACCTAGATATCCATTCTGCTTGTAGAACGCATCAACCCACTCGTTTTGAGACTGTGTATAGATATCTGGAATGTACGTTGCCTTCTCGTTCCTTCCTCCCGATACGGAACCCGCTAGACGTCCCATCTTGATCAGTTTTTCTAAAATGGCTAGAGAGAACAAAGTAATCAAGTGTAAACGTGAGAATGATAAAAATTATTTGAGTAAACTTGCTTCAATTAATTGTTAATTAATGTTACTCATAATGACTTCATAACTCTTGTACATACCATTGGAAGATAGCACCGGTATGATGCAACCCATTTAACACAGTATAAGATCATGAAAAGTGAGTGAGTGAGTTGGGTTTAACGCCGCTTTTAACAGTATTCCAGTCATATCGCGGCCTGTCAGCTTAATGTGGGAGGAAAGCCCTGAAGTGATGCAGGTCTCAGACATTTACCACTTCGGTGAAACCCATGAGCACAGGTATGGTGCTGACAAACCTAGAAACATAACTGGGGCGAACCGGGATTCGAACCCACCATCATAGGTTTCTGGCGTGCCCAAGGGACGCAACTCTGCACAGCGAATCGCGGCGCCTTAGACGACTGGGCCACCAGTGCCCCCAGGTCATGAAGACGTTACTTGACTTCGAATAAACTAAACCCTGTTAATCCAGACGGTAGTGTTCCTGATCAAAGAATCCTGGTAACTTTGTACACATGTAGGTGTAAGTTCCTGTAGATTCTTACTGTGGAAGAGTCTCTCCTTGCAGGCATGCTGAGTCATGACGGACAGCACGGGCGTCGGCCTGCAACAAATGTCCTGGTCAACACATGGTACAGGGCCGGATATGGTTTCACACACGTTTTTCTTAAAGTAACATTCCAGCCATATCACAGCTAGTGCCACAGTGAATGGGGTGAGTATGATTTTACACCTCTTTTAGCAATATTCAAGCAATGCCATGGCAGGGGACACCAGAAATCGGGCTCAAACATTGTACACATGTGGGGAATTGAACACGGGTCTTCAGCGTGTGCTTTCACCACTAGGCTACCCCACCCCACCGTGAATGGGCTTTAGACAAGTGTAGAAGCCATGGTCTTTGGTGCATGCACACTCTCGGGCAACACAACCTGGAACAACTTGACCCTTATTTCTGCCAGTACAATGAAAGAAGGGCAACACTCTAAATCACAAATACTTATAATCTACTTCATAGATAAATGACGCTCGCCAAGTCCGGAGATGGATCAGAAGCCCTGTTTAGTGGGCACAGTTATATACACATAAATACATGGGAACACATAAACATCCACTAGGTGTTTCACGTGGCACATTTGATAAAAAGTTTCTATTGCTGTACCAAAAAAGGTGAATTGGTTAAAGTATCATTCCTTTGATTTTGCTATGTTAATGACAGCATAATTTTGTTTACTGTTGTAGGCTAAACTACAATGCTTTACAAGTAGCTATTCTAAGCACACATTGCACAGTATTGATAAACAATATGTCTGTCTGATTGTGACATGACAGTGCAGGCACCTACTTTGTGACGGCACTGAGTGAGCCTCGGATTCTCGCCTTCATCCTCGTCACAAATGCATGGGTGAAGATGACGTCACGGTCGTAGCTGTCGAGTTGACCTTTGATGATAGACCCAAGTCTTTCACGAATTACCTGCATTAAAAATATATATTCAAGATCAAGCACATCATTGTGCATCATAAGCGACATAAAGATATTTCTACAATATAATAATTCATGATTAATTAACTGAAATTAAGTGATTCCAGAGACTGACAAACAATATCAGGTCAGGTGTTAAGTAGAAACCGGATACCTCTAGAAGTGCACACACAAAAAGTTGAAAACACAATAAAGGACTGATACACTGTCTGAAAATAAGGGTTGCAAATACCCGTCCCCCATCCCCCTGGCCCTACCCCCTCTGGAGCCACCTATATTACAGCCTTATTAATGCAGATTGAAAATAAAAATAAATGAAGCCTTGCCATGGTAACCAGTGGTCAATAGTGTGAGAACCAATCCATGCCACAATGACACAATCAGACCAGTCACGAGAGCTAGCCATGCTTTGCATACAACACTGTTTCCAAATACCATCCATAATTAGCAACCAGTGTGACAATCACATCCACATGATTCAAGTGTTACCACCTTTCCACATAACATGACCAAATTGTTTCTAAACACATACCTCAGTGAGAAAGTCCGCTGGCAGGTCGTATGTCTTGGTCAGTTCTGCGATGGTCACTTGACCTTGTTCGGTAAGTTTGTCGTTCACCTCCTCAGCCAGGCGGTCTTTGTAGGTGCTAGATAATAATTATTGTCATCCATATTTTTTTTCAATCTGAGAGGGGAAGCATTATACCTTATATATTTTATTTAAAAACCTGCTGAACATGCCTAAGGCATTTGTGTTTTTCAACTGTGGATGATCCAAGAGACGCATGAATGTTGGACACAATACTGGACACATCGCTGGACATGGTGTATTTTATCAAGGAAGGAACTGAGGAAACACACATAGCTGTCTTCTTCATCTGTAGGTATGTGGGAGATTTTTGGTACTGATAGTAAAGTGGGTATGGGTAAAAATCACATATTCAATTTATTATGGGCTACCCTTGGGCACGCCAGAAACCTATGATTGTGGGTTCGAATCCCGGTTCGCCCCAATTATGTTTCTAGGTTTGTCAGCACCATACCCGTGCTTGTGGGTTTCACCGAAGTGGTAAACGTCTGAGACCTGCATCACTTCGGGCTTTCCTCCCACATTAAGCTGACACGCCGTGATATAACTGTAATACTGTTAAAAGCAGTGTTAAACCCAACTCACTCACTCACTATTATGGGCTAATCACATGTTTACATATTTTCTGACTAGACTGCTATGAATTATATGGAATACACCATGTACAAGATCTGGCACCAAATTAAATTCTTCAAAACTATTTTGTTTCTATTTTCATTTTTTTAATGTTGATCCATTTTGAAAACCCAATTAACATGATAAATACAAAATAAAAGACCTACGTATTCAACCTCTGCGAATGCCTGTCAAGACTTACACATCAATAAGCTGTCCCAGCACAAGGCTGATCTTCCTGTCATGGCCGACGATGGTGTTCACCTTGGCCTGGATGTGGTTGAGATCAACATTGAGAATCTGCTGCAGTTCAACCAAGTTGATACGACCTGAATACAACACAGAGGTCAGACAAAACACTCAACAGCCACTTGCATGTAGAATACAAATAGAGCATTCCAGATGTAGCGCTCATAGATGAATGACTGAAGTCGGCACACACATAAATATACCTAGACATATTTGTCATGGCCTGATGACTATAAATTGATGGCAAGTCAATATACCAACAGTTAACATCGATGCCATGCAACACTATTGTCGTGTTTCGTAGACATGTTAAACTTTGTTGGTCCTCATGTTGAAAAATGCAAGGAAACACATGTAGTAAGATGGGACAGAACCCATCAACAGTGATGTCAAAACTATTTTGTGATCAATCTATTGCAAAACAAATAAAACAAAAGTTTGCCACTAACGTGGTTATATCCCCCGCCCCTGTTGCAGAATTTATGACATAATTAAATCTAAACAAACCCTAACCCTTTTTAACCGAGGTGGAACTTGTCATGGAAATTGTAAAAAAAGATGAGTTTGGAACCTAAGTCCATCTTGTTGCCATGGAAACGTAAAAAATAAAAATTTCTAAAAGTTCTCAATAGCAAAAGGCACCAGTTCAGCATGTACCTGACAGACCTGCAAAGTTTGATGAAAAAATATTGAACGGTTTATGAGTTATGCTCCGGAAACAAACCCTACCCTCACAGAACCTAAGTCCATCTTGTTGCCATGGAAACGTAAAAAATAAAAAAATTCTAAAATTTCTCAATAGCAAAAGGCACCAGTTCAGCATGTACCTGACAGACCTGCAAAGTTTGATGAAAAAATATTGAACGGTTTATGAGTTTTGCTCCGGAAACAAACCCTACCCTTACAGAACCTAAGTCCATCTTGTTGCCATGGAAACGTAAAAAATATAAAATTTCTAAAATTTCTCAATAGCAAAAGGCACCAGTTCAGCATGTACCTGACACACCTGCAAAGTTTGATGAAAAAATATTGAACGGTTTATGTGTTATGCTCCGGAAACGAAACGTGACGGACGTACGGACGTACGGATGGACAGACGTACAGACGGACGGACGGACGGAGCCCATTTCTATATCCCCCGCCAACTTCGTTGGGCGGGGGATAATAAGTCTTTGAATCGCATGAAACTGAAATAGTTACCTATATTACAGCAGTATCACAATACTGTTTTTAACTATTACACTACAACATTGTATTGCAATCACACACACACGCCATAACTCAAGTTATGTTAGTAGTGTTTTAGTCTTTTATGATTGATTTTAACAGGACACTTACTTTACATGCTCAGAACAGCTATCTTGTTTCGTCAATGATACTATTGTACTTATAGTTTGTTTTATATTCTTGTCATGAATGAATTATTTAAGTTTTAAAATTGGTTCAGCAGGAGGGTATAGCCTTGTGGTTACATTGTTCAGTTGTCACGCCAAAGGCCTGGGTTCTATTGCCCAGGTTGGTACAATGTGTGAAGACCATTTCTGGTGTCCAAAGCTGTGATGTTACTGGAATATTGATAAAAGCAGCGTAAAACCCAACTCACTCAATCACTCACAATTAACATTCCTAGCCAGGATGTAGATAATATACTTTGTACCTCCATGAACATAGAGTTCGTCTCGGATCTCCTTCGCCAGCTCCTGGTGGGTGAGATACTCCTTGCCATCTGTTGTGTAGATCACGTCGATCAGTTTCAGCTCAATCAGCTTTGTCACCAGCTCTACAATGTTCCTCTCAGACAATCTAAAAGAGTAGCAACCAAATGAGTTGGTGAGCATATATATTCTTCAGAATGTTCGATCAGGTTGACACGTAGGTCCAAGTATTGACATTGGATAGCTGATGATAAACTTTGATGGTACAATAATTTTTCTTCTAAAGAGTGGAGAAAAGAAATAAATTATAAATATCAGACTCAGATTAATCCCTTTAATTATCTGTGAAGATATACACATATATCATTTGAAGCAAAAGAAAAAACGAAACATAATTTTTAAATACCACGCAGTGTTAAAAATAAAAGTTCACTTCCTCATTTTCAGTTCTCATGATCTACATTTGTATGGCAGATCCCCAGAGATCCCCAACTGATAGCAAACCTGCTGCAGTAATTATTGACTTATTATAACGACACAGATCATTTTAATATTACCATTACAACTTAGAACTGAATATTGAACATCCGACGATAATTAATTGCAGCTGTTTGCGACACCGGTGAAACTCAGTTCTCAACAAGGTGTGACATATTGCACAACAAATCGACAAAGACAGAAACACAACAATTAGGGTGGATATTAAAATTGAGATGTCCATCTAAACATGACAATGTGATAAAAATAGTTACTTTTGTTTTGTCGTACTAAGCTGGACACGCTGAAAATCAGCTGCCAGACGTTTCACTTCTTCCCAGTCAGCCATGTTGGCAAGTGCACTGAAGAGTATGCAAAGGGGAGATAACTCCAATGTTTTATAGCAGCCGACACTTCTTGGGGGTGATACCACGATCATCATGCGTGCATTAAATGCAAGATACAATATTAATACCACAAAAAGAAAATATGATAATACCATTTAAAATATATTTGTAACAGAATATGTACAGTATCTATTCCACTCCACCTGTTTTATAGGATTTTTCTTTAATGAATGATACCGCAGTTAACGAAACGCCAGTAAAATCTAAATTGTGGCATTAAAAGTAAATAAATAAAGCATCACCGCATGATTTTATTTGTCTGTTTGTTTAGCGCAGCATACAATAATATTATATTATTGACTATATGACTGCGGTCTGTAAATAATCGATGCATCGACCCACGCAATTAGGATACGATTACATGCATCAACCAAGTCAGCGAGCCTGACCACCCGATTCCGTTGGTGACCTTTTACGGCAAGCATGGGTTGTTGAAGACCTATTCTATCCCGGATCTTCACGGGTCTACCTCATGTAGATAAATTAAATTTGAAACCGGATTTGTTGTTACCTCTTGGGAATAAAGTTAAACAACTCCATTTAAAAACTAACGGGATCGGGTGGTCAGGCCCGCTGACTTGGTTGATGTACGTCATCAGTCCCAATTGCGTGGATTGATGCTCATGATGTCAATCACTGGATTGTCTGGTCCAGACTCGATTATTTACAGACCGCCGTCATATAGCTGGAATATTGCTGAGTGCGGCGTTAAACGACAAACAAACAAACAAACCATTTAAAAAAGAAATCACAAAAGTATTCCATGTAATGTGTACTTCCACAAGATTAATATGCTACAGCATGAAACAGGTGGCAGGTGCAATGCTGTTGACTCTTCAAACCATTACATGATTGCCTGGTGAGGCATTAGACTTGGTTCTACGAGGGGTGTTCATTAAAGATTTCCCCTAAACCACTTAGGGTTATCATATTTGGTTGAAATTTCACATGTGTAATGATACATGTATCTATGGGTTATGTCTGAATTTGCAGCACCGAACTATTAATCTTACCACTTTTACAGGTGTTATGATCGAGTAGGGTGTGACAATGGAGCCAGTAGAATACCGAGCAGTGATTAGGTTTTTATATTTGAAAGGTCGCACACCAAAAGAAACTTTCGATGAAATGAAAGCAACTTATGGGGAAGATGCCCCATCATATGAAGTTGTTAAACACTGGCATCGCCAGTTCAAGTGTGGTCGGACATCTGTGGAAACAGCTGCCATTCCTGGTCGCCCCCGCCATTGATGAGGACACTATCCATCAAGTGGAGACCGCCATTTTGGCAGACCGACGTATAACTGTTCGCCAGTTAGCACAAGATGTCAAGATCAGTGTAGGGTCTGTGGAAAAAATCATCCATGACAATTTGAACATGCATAAGGTGTCTGCACGATGGATTCCCAGGTTGCTATCACCTTTCCAAAAGCAGGAACGAGTCAATTGCTCAAAGGATCTTTTGGACTTGTGTCAAAAATCCAGGCAAACCTTTTTGACAGACTTATCACACAGGATGAAACATGGGTCCATCACTATGATCCTGAGACTAAAGTTCAGTCGATGCAATGGAAGCATGTGGAGTCACCACCCCTAAAGAAGGCACGTGTCCAACCCTCTGCAGGCAAGGTCATGCTCACGGTGTTTTGGGACCAGCACGGAGTAGTGATGATGGATTTCTTGGCAAAGGGTACCACATTTACAGGAGCTTATTATGCTTCACTGCTGCGGAAATTGCGGGACGCTATCAAGCTTAAGAGGCGTGGCATGCTGACCAAGGGTGTCTGTCTCCTGCAAGACAAAGCTCCAGTACACAACTCTCATGTTGCCCAGACAGAAGCGCGGTCCTGTGGCTATGAAATCCTTCCACATCCTCCTTACTCTCCTGACCTTGCACCATCTGACTTCCACCTCTTTCCAACCATGAAGTCATTTTTGAAGGGAAAACGTTTCACAGATGATGAAACACTGATTTCTGAAGTCAAGTCCTGGTTTGAGATGCAAAATGAGGGCTTTTACAAGCGAGGTCTCCATAGTTGCATAAAACGATGGGAGAAGTATGTAACTCTTGGTGGTTCCTATGTGGAGAAAGAGTAATACCTATGCCAAGTTTCATTCCACTAGGTCCATCGGAAGTGGGTCAGGGGAAATCTTTAATGAACACCCCTCGTAGATATGTGAGGTGTGAGGCGAAATGGGGTTTAACGTCGCGTTCAAGATTATTGCACTTATATAGCATGCACGTCAGTGTGTGTGTGTGTGTGTGTGTGTGTGTGTGTGTGTGTGTGTGTGTGTGTATGGGTGCGTTTGTATGGGTGCGTTTAGGTGCATGCGTGCGTGTGTGAGCGAGAGAGTTTATGTGTGTGCGTGCGCACGTGCGGGTATGGGGTTGTGGGTGGATGTGCGTGTCTAAAATAGGTCCCCACAACAACATGCATGTCAGCTAGAATGAGTGTCCTGTCCTTATGGTGAGTGACCTAACTAAGTGTCTGGATCATTCTGTGGTGTGTGGTGTCCGCTTGTACTAGTCCGGAATAATGCCGAGTTTATAGTGCTAGCCCACTGGGACACCGTGCCGCAGTTATACAAGAATATCTCCTCAGACACAGTTTGAGCCGAGCAGTGAGTGAGTGAGGTTGGGTTTAACGTCGCTTTTAACATTATTCCAGTTATATCACGGCGTGTCAGCTTAATGTGGGAGGAAAGCCTGAAGTGATGCAGGTCTCAAACGTTTACTAATTCGGTGAAACCCACGAGCACGGGTATGGTGCTGACAAACCTAGAAACATAATCGGGGCGAACGCGGCGCCTTAGACGACTGGTTAAGCCGAGCAGACCAGTCCTTGTTTGTTTGTTTGTTTGTTTGTTAGCCTCTTAATGCCGAGCGCCAGGCAGGGTAACACGAAGTACCATATTTTTCTTTTGGTATAACGCGGCCATGGATCGAACCCCTGATATTCGGTTCTCCGGGCAGACGCTCTACCACTAGACCACGGAGGCGGTCTCCTCTAGATAGAGAGAGGGAGTGGTAAAGGGTTGAAGAGAGGTGTCCAGTGTCTTTTTCGATTCGATTATTTTTGTTAGTTTGTTTGTTGTTTAACCCCAACCTGTCAGGCACAACGCCCTTATCTGACTCTAGAAAGGGTTTCCTTAACTGAAGCGCTCGTAAAATAATACGACGAAGTTCCGTTAAATTGTTTTAGCCATTAATGTTTAAATCTTCATGTCAATTAAATATCAGTTTGGATTATGTTTAGAAATTACTCATATAATGTTCGCATTTTATATTCAATAACGTCTTTAAGTTGACCTGCCCCTAAAAGATAACCCATGGGTAAACTAGGTCAGGTTGCACATTACTGTTGAGTTAGATTGGTCTCACCTAGAACCTATTAGCGGATTCGAACCCACGTTCAAGGGGCGCAACTCTGGCCAGTGTTTCAATAATATCAACAGGTGTAGGCTTTTATTGAAGAAGACAACCCCGTTAAATCGGACGGTGCCGTTCAAACTAAAGCATCCGGATTAATACATGTCAAAATTAACGAATCCCGATACGGTGTATTCTAAAGCATCCGGATTAATACATGTCAAAATTAACGAATCACGATACGGTGTATTCTCAAGCATCCGGATTAATACATGTCAAAATTAACGAATCCCGATACGGTGTATTTTCTCTTTAATTACATATAGGCGTTAACAACTGCAAGCGTCTGGTATAGGCTTGTTCTTTTAAATGTACCGGACGGGATTAACGAGGAGAGTATTATGCTTGTCTGTCTGGCCTCTTGATTGTGAGTTTTAATCTGAAACCAAAGCAGTGACGTCTTGAGAAGACATCGTTTTGAATATATTGAACCAAGAACAGTAAACACGTGCAACCCTGGGTTAGATCTTAGCCCTCGTGGTATATCAATAGACGTAAATGAGCTTGACGCAGCCTATTGTCAGACCTAAGCCACTTGACTACGTGCAAGCAATGCAATGCATGCAGGTCCGTGCTTTGACAACTATTTTTGTCAAACAGAGATCAGGTGTGTGATTGTCATACCAAGGTGATCCCGCCAGGATTCTTGGGTCACCAGTAATTTGATACCCCCTGCCTCGGAGTCGCGATATAACGCAGCCTATTTGATACCCCCTGCCTCACTATAGCGATACAGCCGGGGAGACAATCGTAGCTCGCAACACTGCATTGACTTAGGTTAGGTTAACCTTTGATTCAATCAGTTACATGTGTAGAGCTAATTAATGATACAATACTAGGGTATAGTACATAGTGTTGCCGAGAAACTTGGTTATGTTCTGTTATCGTGAGTGAGGGTGTTCAATGTTTACTGATTTTAAGCAACGTCGCGGCAGGGAGACCGAGGGTTGGCGCCACAAATTACTGTAGGGAACTGACGAGTCAAAATGTTGTGTGTTTTTTTAATCAAATTAGAAACTAATATTTATTTATTTATTTATTCACTCTCACTCACTCACTCACTCACTCACTCACACTCACTCACTCACTCACTCACTCACTCACTCACTCACTCACTCACTCACTCACTCATTTATTTATTTATTTATAAACCACGAGTTCTAGTGATATTTTATATCTTGAAGGTGTCTGGTAAGTCACATTCTTTCTGTGATAACATAACCTTTTAAAATCAGTATATTCAATGTGAAAATACTTTTAGATATCAATAATAATATTCAATTATTCATATCCACGCCTTTTTATATTTTGAAATTCTATTTCATAGATCACATTCACGTTATCAAGAATTTTTTTGTGTGTAAAATATATTTCTTTCTTTTTTTTTAAATAATGATTTTGCTATCGATAACAAACCATTTATAAACAAAGAAAGTATAAAATGTTGCTTACTCCTCTTTGAACAGTGTACCAGTATCAGTTCATGGCGGTGGGCCGGCTTGATGTTGGAGGAAAGCCGGAGAGA